ATGTAGGACTAAAGACAAAAAACATGATTGTCCTGAAGTTAGATGATAACTTGCAGCCCAACATCTAAAATGTCACAGACGGTGGTAAATTAATCGACTATTTGGGAAAAAACTCTTTCGAGAATTCGTTTTAAAATGTGATTCGTCGCAGAAACGACCTCCAGATCCTGATCTTTGTCTAACGCCCCCAAATCGATATACGATTCGTGCACCCTTGAATGAAAAGTTCGCTGATTCGTTTTTAACTTAACAATGATAAAAACAAAAACAAAATGTCACATGTGACATCTGAATAAGAGTTAGAGATGGCAAACAAAGGTGTGCGTACATGTCAACTAAAAAGCTGTTTCTACATTGTTTGAGACCAGACACGTCTGTCGATTGCCTCCTGTGTGGAATAGCGAAAGGCAACATCAAAGGCTTATGAAATTAAGCGGTTCCTCAGAGCAGCCAACTTTGGATATATATCGCAAAGTTTCCTAGAGAAATAAATTTACTAAACACGATCTACATCAAAACGTGATGACGTCAAGTGTATCATACGTGTAGGTACTACGCACCCGGAAAGTAAACCCATCAGTTTTTTTCTACCATCTCATAAAAACAGTCTTCTTCTTCTCTGTTTAGATGTCAAAATCTGAAAGTTGCTGAAACTCAAAAACCATTCCAGCATTATTGCGTCCAGCAATCGAATCATTTGTAGATAATCATCGGGGCTATGTTTTTGTCTATGTATGTTAATAAAATAAAGGTTGTCAAATATTGTATATTTTCATTGTAAAAAAGTATTGTAGTTATAGATAGAGGATGTCAATGTTAATCATCGAACAAAACATTAGTTGAACAGTCGACGAGTCAGCAATAAAACGCTGTTTATAAAGATTCTTGTCAAGTGTAAGAATCCATTACAAGCGGGGAAGGTCCGTATCATGAAGCATGATTAGACAATATTTCTTCTTTAAACAGATGGCATAATGTTTTGGTGGAGTTCCTTTTATTATCAAGACAGGTCTTAACTTGATATCTGATTTGCAAACAGGAACTTAAGTTCATCGTGTCTATTCAAATGAACGACCTTGATACTTTTTCATGGTTGCAGTGGTCAAATGTGCAAGTTCTTACTATTTTGCAACATTATCAGAACTTTAAGTACTTTGATGTATAACAGACGGAAAAATCTAAGCCCAGTGTTGTCGTTTATATTCTGTTTTTTTGTCATAAAGATTTTTAGAAAATGGTCAAAACATGCCAAACATTCATGAACCCTCAATGGAAAGTATAAGGTCTGTCATAGGTTGACTAGAGGTGAAAAGACTCCCATCATTAGCCAGCTATTTCTAGTTATGTTGATCTAACTATTATCAAACTAAAACTGATTATGTATTTGATTAACATCCATCTGTATAGTGAATTCCGTTTTCGTTTCAGCTGTATGATATCAGAGTATTTTACAATACAGAAGTTGTATCACTCCACCGTCCCACACACCCCAGTGTATTTCACCCCCGTTATACCGACAGTATTGGCACTAGACAGAAGGAATAGACAAATTAAAGAAGGAATGCCATATCTCACGGACAGATATTTATCATGCTCCTGTGATGAGTTGTGAAAGAAGTAAGATAGCACAGTTATGTGTAAAAAGAAATATTCCTGTGCTGAAAAATAGGACAAATAGTAAGAAATAAAGAATTTATTTTGATTAACAATCATTGCACACAGTATAAATATATCAACATCATAATTAATATATTAGAGTTTGTTTCAGTAATCAATAATTATGCAATAAAATCATAATTTATTCTGTTTTAAAAGGTTATTAAAAATGTGTTGAAATCAAACCAAAATGTATAATATGGACATTGAAAATGTTTCCCAAATATATGAAGCAAAGATAAAAACATTTTCAATACATCACACATACAGGTGTATATAAGGAACCAAAACCTCTTTGTAACAGGGCTAGTTTTTTTATCAGTCTAGGACTTATCAAATACCACAGACCAGAGACAGGATGGATTTAGACAATCACAAGACTAATTAAATGTTGTCACAGAGAGAGGACGGATTTCGACAATCAAAAGATTGATCAAATGTTGTCACAGAGACTGGACGGATTTCGACAAACAGAAGACTGATCAAATGTTGTCACAGAGACTAGATGGATTTTGACAATCAAAAGACAGCTTTAAATGGTCCAAACAAAAGTGAATTCATAAAAAAACAACTTTGTAAAGATTTCTTAAAAATAATTAAAGAATAAATATATTTTCAAGCAGTCCCCACATGGATAAGTTTATATATCACCACCTGCTTCACTTGAGCAACAGATATTGATTTGCATTAAAATTAGATCTTAAACATTTTAGAATTCTTTATTCTGATAGAATTTGTAATCTAAGGAATGTGGAATGTTGGTTGAAATTTGAAAAACATTGTAGTACTGTATGTTTTATGAACATGACACGTTTATTGATAAAAAAAATCATTTTCAATTTCTAAATTAAAATTAGACAAACTATAACTAATTCATTTAGCTTACACTTAGTTTCAATACATAAGGCCAATATCAACAGACTCAATATGAGCAGATTATAGGTAAAATATACCTATAATTATTGATGGCTGGAATCCACTTGCGCAAAAATATTCTTTTTTACTTTTGAGAATGAAATATCTGTTTTTAATGCGATATATAAGCCAATATTTTTATGCAGAACAATATGACTGCAATTCGCCAGCGTAGCCATGTCTACCATTGTAGAAATGCATGCCTACATCTCTATCTATATGATAGGACCTGCCAGCAGGATTATTCAGCTGTATACATACAGTGTACAGCTATATTCTATCTTTATATACAATGTATATTTCAAATCTTCAATATCATTTAACAATAGTGTTAAATGATATCTTATATGAGGTACATATAAACCAGAAAACATATTATTGACACTAATAAGCAAAAAGATACAATGCTCAATTCTGATTAAGATTGCAGCAATATGACTATTTTACTCTGTAAACGACACAACATATATAAAATTGTATATCACTGTTTTTCATCTGGATATGTCACAAATATACTCAAACCAATTCAAAATGAAAAAGTAGAGTTAATCAGTTTTAATAACATGACATAACACATGGTTATTTAGAAAACCAGGTCCCTTATGATATAAATTAGGATTACTTGTTGTTTCAGGTTAACATTAGTGAAATTAAAAATAGATTTGAAAGATAATCAATTGTACAACAATCTCAAGAATATGAAATAAAAGTAAAAATAATGTTGGGAAAATCCTTGATCACAACGAGCTAAATAATTGCTAACTTCCCAAAGTTTTAAAGGAGAATGGAACTTAAGCGACCAGCTTTCTCTCATAAAAAGGAATTAATAATCAGACATTTAACAACTCAGATATCCCTGAAGTGTAAAGTTCCCCATGTTCAGTCATAGTAGCTTGTATCAAACAGATCTCCTCTCTACAAGAAACATATTGAGTTCAGGTATGTGAAATATTCCTATAGTTACTATATAACGGTAATTGAACATGAATATTTTGGTGGAGTAGTTATCATGACATTGATTTCTGTATGGTTTCGTAAAAAATAGAAAAAAAGTAATAAAAAAGAATTCCAGAAAAACCATTTCCATATGATTTCATAAAAAATAGTGATAAAAAAATTCCAGAAAAACCATGACTGTACATAAAATTGTGTAAAAGTATACTTGGTAAATAGGATTTCATATATATACTCCTATATGAAATGTAACTACAAATAGCGAAAGGTGAAATTATCACAAATTCTTTAAGGTTGTAAACATTCCTTATCACCTAAGTGAATCTTGATCCATTTACACTCAAACTGCCCAAGTATTCACCATACCCCTACCATCAAGCTACCCGGGTATTTACTATACCCCTGCTATCAACCTACCCGGGTATTTACTATACCCCTACCATCTACCTACCCCAGTATTCACCATACCCCTACCATCAAACTACCCAGGTATTTACTACAGCCCTACCATCAACCTACCCCAGTATTCACCATACCCCTACCATCAAACTTAACAGGTATTTACTACAGCCTTATCATCAAACTACCCGGGTATTTACTATACCCCTACCATCAAACTACCCGGGTATTTACTATACCCCTACCATCAAACTACCCGGGTATTTACTATACCCCTACCATCAAACTACCCGGGTATTTACTATACCCCTACCATCAAACTACCCGGGTATTTACTATACCCCTACCATCAAACTACCCGGGTATTTACTATACCCCTACCATCAAACTACCCGGGTATTTACTATACCCCTACCATCAAACTACCCGGGTATTTACTATACCCCTACCATCAAACTACCCAGGTATTTACTAGACCCCTACCATCAAACTACCCGGGTATTTACTATACCCCTACCATCAAACTACCCGGGTTATTGTACTTTACTCCCTTCTACATTTCCTAAACCTGAACCTATAATTGAACTACATAGTATTCTTCAGTATTTGCTATACCTCTACCTACACTACATAAGTAAAATATATCCCAGGTATATGGTACAAAAATAACAGACTAGAACAATAGATTTTGATATTTAAAAGACATGATACAAAAATATATGTGTAGGTGCTAAGATGGAGAATTTTGTAATATTCAACATGGTGACTGTAAATGTCTGCTGCATAGCTGACTAAGACAACTCACTCCAAATATCTGTTGTATATTTATACATTTTTTTGATACATACATTAAAGTTAGTTTTCTAAAATTCTTTACTGTGCGTTTTTCTATCATAACTGCATGATACAGTACACATTTTGTAATTCAATGGTTCAGGTTACGGATGCTTGCATTTACAATATTTATAAAACATTCACTTTTTGCTTAACATTTAAATGTATTTTGTTATCAGTCAATGAGAAATTAGTATTTTTTTTTATTTGGGAAATTGTTATTTGCACCAAAAAGCCTGATTACTTTTTACAGTACAATACAATTTACCCACGATAATATAAGTTATCACTAACACCCTAGCCCTCAATGTCATTCGTGACTGGATTATCGAAGTTTTTACGATCCTACTGAATTACACATGCTTTAGAGGTGTTTTCTCCCAGGTTCTCATTCCTGTTCTTGGTCTCTTTCATACCATTCACATTTCCACTACTGGTCATACTTCCACCCAGTATGGCTTCGAGCTCTTCAATCTAGAACAAAAGTGAAAAAAATATAAAATATATCAAATGAAGATAACAGGATGCATTCCTTTGACTGGAACTAAGACATAATTCAACATAAAATGAATTTCAACTGGATCACTTTGACTTTTGTGTTCTCCTATACTTTGGTATCTATAGCTGTGCTAATAAACTTCAAAAGGGGGATTTTTGTTGACGGTTTGAAAAAATGTCACTTGTGGACTATTTTTTGACAACATAATTGACAGTATAATTAGCTTATAGTGTCAACAGTTTCAACGTTTTCTACTTAATAACATATATGTACTTCTCCTGAGTATAAGTCTGAAAGTCTTGGGTAGACTTTGCATGAATTATTACCACAAAGCTCAGATTTCAAATTCATGAATTCCGACGTGGCGGACCATTTTCTTAAATTTTCAGAACCCAAAAACAAATAGTTTAGCTTGTTTCGTGTTCTTGGAAAAATTGGCTATTTGGATGAAAATTGCAAAATTTAAAGCAAAGAGAACTCCTCTTTCTTTTAATGATGAAAAATATACTATAGAATTTCACTATCCAAATCTGATATCTGAAAAGAAATTATTTCAGTCATTTTCATTTCTCGCTTGCTATACAGTTTAAAGCTCATTAAATCACTTGAAATGAAACACATTCATCTAATTTTTTTTCTTAATGTCCAAATGCTATACACCTACCTTGCAATGAATGATGAAAATTTGAAAGAGTTACCATAAAATAACACAGAGAATGATATGTGGAAATCAATTATTTCATGTTAAACATACAGTATTGCCTGTACCAGAAAAAGTCGACCGGCAATATGTTGATTTTTTTTTCTTTTAATCTACTTTCTTAAATCAAAACCTTTAAGAAAATCATCTTCAGAAAAAATTTGAATTCTGGAATACGTTTACTTTTTAGAGGAGTGCATTCCTGACATCTCTAATCTTTCTTGATAATTAAACAAGTATCCTTAATCCCTACTTCTGTTAGTAATATACCTCACACCCTCATACAGTCTGTATAGTAATATACCTCGGACCCTCATACAGTCTGTATAGTAATATACCTCATACCCTCATACAGTCTGTATAGTAATATACCTCACACCCTCATACAGTCTGTATAGTAATATACCTCACACCCTCATACAGTCTGTATAGTAATATACCTCATACCCTCATACAGTCTGTATAGTAATAAACCTCGGACCCTCATACAGTCTGTATAGTAATATACCTCAGACCCTCATACAGTCGGTATAGTAATATACCTCGGACCCTCATACAGTCTGTATAGTAATATACCTCAGACCCTCATACAGTCGGTATAGGAATATACCTCACACCCTCATACAGTCTGTATAGTAATATACCTCGGACCCTCATACAGTCTGTATAGTAATATACCTCAGACCCTCATACAGTCGGTATAGTAATATACCTCATACCCTCATACAGTCTGTATAGTAATATACCTCACACCCTCATACAGTCTGTATAGTAATATACCTCACACCCTCATACAGTCTGTATAGTAATATACCTCACACCCTCATACAGTCTGTATAGTAATATACCTCATACAGTCTGTATAGTAATATACCTCACACCCTCATACAGTCTGTATAGTAATATACCTCAGACCCTCATACAGTCTGTATAGTAATATACCTCGGACCCCTCATACAGTCTGTATAGTAATATACCTCAGACCCTCATACAGTCTGTATAGTAATATACCTCAGACCCCTCATACAGTATCTCATCTACTAATTGTGAAAAAACCTACCGTTATAGTTGTCTGCCCATTCTGTCGTTTTGCAGCAAGCTGATTTTGAATGCTTCCCTAAAATGTAAAATGAAATGTTTTAATTACCTCTCTGAAGAACACATTGGTGCTTAGTTCCTAGTGAGTGAAAATGGCATACTCTGACACAATTACAGGTTGTGCCACAGTAAAAGGTCAAAAAGAGATGTGATACAAGTCATTTGATGACAACATTGGTGACACACTTACCAATTTTCCTTCCGCTTCAGTCGTACGTTTTTTGTATGAGTCCAATTCCATAACCATCTTAGTGTCTTGTTTAGCAACAGGGGCTGCAACTTGGGGTGGTGCTGGCTTAGTTTTGTTGTTGTTTGCTGAGGTCTTATTATCTATTTTCTGAAAAAAATAATTAATTAAATCGTTTTAAGAAATGAACATGAAATACAAAAAATAATTCTTTCAAAAAAAGATCTTCACAAACTTTTGAAAAAAATGCCTGTAGCTTAATGACTTACTTTCTGTGCAGTATTATCAGCAGGTTTAGGAGCAGCACCTTTTGTGGTACCTCCATGGGAATCATCTTTCTGTCGACCCCAAACCTCAATCACAATGGCACTTTCAATCAAGTAGTCGACGTACTACAAGGCAAAGAGGGAACAATTCAAGTTAAACAATTTAAGATTATACTGTGTACCAATTCAATCAGTTCTTTTAAATGATACATGGATTGAAAATATCTAACTCAAGGAAAAAATAAAGACAAATTTTACTACTGGAAAATGGTAGATTTTCACAAGTAGAATGCTTCTGCCTCTGAATGTAAACAAAATTCCCCATCAAGAAAAAAAACAGTACAAATGTTTCCCAAAACAGAGTTCATTTGCATATATATATTTAAATTTGCATATAAAAGAAATATCAATCTTACTTCATCAATGTCATATTCTATTCCTGTGATCTTTTACCTATGTCATATATTTTTTCCCTATCCCTGTTTTGTATTATGAACAACAGGACTGTCTGAAATTTCTTCATTCCCCTAAAAATAAGCCGACCATTTCCCTTTTTCCACAATGGGTAATATTCCCAAAAATCTACATTAACCCATTGGAACAAATCCATGCAGATTTTCTTTTTTTTTCGTCAGTGATTTGAGAGTCACATCAGAATGATCAACTACCACGGTTTGTTTCCTTTGTATAACACACTGTAATGAGATCATATAATACAAAGGACTTTAACCAATTGATATTGATTAGGGTTATCTGTGGAAAGTTGAATGACAATCTAAAGTCATTATTTCTGTCTGTTGATAGAGAGCCATGAACCCAATGTATTTTTATCTGTTTTTTCTTGCAATATAATCCAACTTATTCCCAGATTATATTGTAATCTTAGCTAGACCTTGTTAGGTTTATTGATGTATAAAACAGGACAGCATGTAATCAAGAAGACCCTTCAGAAATAAAAGTACTGTTTCACAAAATGATCACATTTTTTCACTTACTTGTTTGGTAACTGGTGAATGTTTGTACTTCTTTTCGTAGTTGAAATCTGGATTCATGCTTTCAACCTCATTTGTCTCAGTATACTTGTCCTCATTATAGTATTTGTACTTACAGCAACTCTGAAATGGATAAAAAAAATCATATCAGCAATCAAATATGTCATCAAGTGAGATAACACATTTCACAGGAGAAGAAAAACAAGCACGTTATTGTAATGTACAGACTGCTAAGTGAAGGGAGGTAATCAGGGTTTTTTCTATATGAAAACATGTTGGTGAGTGAATTTCTAATATTATGTTTATATATAGCACTATATTTCTCCATCAAACAATAGTACTGTAACAATTTTGATACTTAATGATCTGTATATGATACAAAATGAATATGAATATTGACCCATTTTTCACAGAGAATTATTTCTAATTCTCAACATTAAATGGCCTTGACTCTTAAACTAAGAACTTGATCATAACAAAGCCACAGGTTGACTTGTGTCTTACCTTCAGGGTTTCTAACAACATAACCAGTAAATACCAAATTATCTTTCAACATCTTCATCAAATAAAACGTAAATCATGAATTGGAAACATTTTTTTTTTCTTTTAATTAAGCTTGCCCATGCAAATATTGTTTTATAGGGTGACATAAAATATGGGTAAAAGACACTTTCATTCAGGAAAGGGACTTGTATTTATCTCAAATTTGAGTAATTAAGGTCAAAAGTAAAACTTTTAGCCACACGTCAGACCATCTTATATATGTGACAGGACCATTATGTCAATTTTAAAGAAGAGATCTGAGAGAAATGATTTGGAAATGATCAATCACCTTTGCAATGTTTTGTGGTAGTCCTCTGCAGTTTTCAATTTTGAGAATGAAGTAGATATCTTTACCAATCTGCTCATTTGGTTCATCAACGAAGTCATCTTCACCAAGATCCTTGTAATCCTTAGTACAAGGCTTTACAAACACAGACAAATGACCTGTAAAAATGTAAGTGTAACAATACAACAGCCAGGCTTACAATATTTACCTGTTTAGTTAAACAAGATACTTGAGGGACTTTGGTGCCCACCATTGTTTGATCTTTATCCGCTCTTTGAAAGTTGGATCTTTTCCCTTCTTTTCTCTTCTCTTCCCTGATTTTGCTCCTAATGATAAGACATTTGAACATTCCTTTGCAGAAATTGCAATTATAATCTTTACCTGCCAAATCCAAAATGGCCACCTGGAAGCCATTTTGTTTCTTCTGATCAGTCCATAAATCAAACTAGCATAACGAGGGACCACAATGAACCTACATAGGAAATTCAAGAAAAGTTCATCGAGTACTTCTGAAGAAGTAGAGATAACAAACTTCATTGAAAAAAATCTAAGATAGCCACTTGTCAGCCATTTTGTTTTTTCTGATTAGCCCCAAAATTGGGCAGACACATCTTGGGACCAAAAGGAACCTATGCAAGAAATTTGAGAAAGATCCATCTTGTTCTTCTCAAGAAATAGCGATAACAACTTTCAAAGTCAAGATCTAAGATTGCCACATTTCGGCTATTTTATTCTTCTGATCAATCCCAAATTTACATGGGCACAACTAGAGACCAAAGGGAGCCTAAACATGAAATTTAAGAGAGATCCATCACGTACTTTTCAAGAAAAAGCGATAAAAAAATCTCCATTGAAAAAATCTAAGATGGTCATAGTCATTATGAATATTTGATTAGTCCCACAATCAAGCGGGACCAGGGGGAACCTACATAAGCAATTTGAGAAAGATTCACATAGCACTTCTCAAGAAAGCGCAATAACAAACACTGTTTACAGAAGGATGGAAGGACGGACTATGGACCACAGACGCAGAGTGATTTGAATAGCTCACCATCTCATGATGGTTGACAAAAAAACCATCTTTGTAATTATCATTTTTAAAACAAATTCACAAGACATTCAAAAACCCAAATCATGCAGTATCTACAAAATATATGAAATGAAGATGAATGAGTATCTAAAAGACATGCTCCATATTGACTTTTTAAGTGGTTTTACTCTCTTTTAATTGGAATAACACCATTCATATATACCTATTGTATTTAATCAGACGATATGTTTGTTAAAAACAAAACCATATGAACATGAAATCAGTAGGAAGTATCATTTTATAGAGATGTTCCCATCACCAATACATATATATGTGTACAAAACAGAACTGCTGATGTAGTACATTTTATACAACAGTTGCTTCCCAACACTCAGGTAGTTTATGTGATTTTGCAGATATATTATGAAGGAATTTTTTCAAGACTGAGTACAACTGACCTTTAACCTCATTCCCCTTATGTCTGTTCAGATCCCCGAGATCATCACAGAAAGTAATTGTAAACCAAAACATTAGTTCTGAATGAAATTATTTGAAAATAAGTTTAAATACCCCTGGTATGTATTTATACAGCATCAGCCTTGAACAGTGTGAAACAGTGTACTGATTCAGTGACAGACAATATTATCAACACAAGAGATATCAAAGCCCCTACCCATTTCTGAGCCCTTGTAGTCTGTGATGGCCAGCGTCTCCTCAATGTCCAGTAAATGGGCCAGCGACATTAGGTGGAGGTGAGCAGTTCCAATTAAGATTTCCTGGTCAGCAGGCTCCCAAAATGGATCACGTTCCTTCAAAAAGATTTTTTTTCTGAATTTAGGGGTCACAAAAGTGATCTTTGTTTGTAAGGAAGATGAGAAAGTGACCAGTGTGTAATGTTGCAGGGGTTTCCTTGGGAAAGTCACTTTACCCAAGTGCTCAGAATGACATACAACAAGCGTCCTATATGTTGTTCAGTGTTGTACATTGTATTCACCAGCAATTACAAAGAGACCCTGTCTCAAAATGACCCTGGCTATTCATCGGATGGCAAATCCTACAAGCAAACTGAAATCTTTCAGGTTGAAATGTCTAGTTTACTGTTACAACTACATAACTCCAGTTTCTCATGTCTAGTACCAACTAAATATGACAAATTGTAATATAACCTCGATAAAAAAAAAAGGGGTCGCAAGAAACACCCTTTGATTAAAGACCATTATTGGTCTGACATGTACTGTGTTACCTTAGGGACGTCCCAGTTATCGTCACCAGATACAAAATCCTGATAAATCTCCTGCATGAGAGACTTGCGATTGATAGCCTTGCTTTTGTCCCACATCCAATAATTATTGTTAACCTGGCTGACCATCTTCACCATTACCTAGAAAATAAATCATGTCCATTCTCAAAAGTTAAATAGTTTCAGTATCAGACAACAAGGTATGTAATAAGGATATCACATCATACTAATATAATTAAAAAAAATCTGAACAAAGCTAGCACTGGTGATTGACAGCTATTTTCTCTAGAAGTCATATCATGACACTTAAGGTCATCCATTTCCATGGAAACAGATATACCTGAGCAATCAACAAAATTGATAGTAAAATTAGCCAAATTAGGTCTGGTTTCTATCCATAATTCCTGAGATTTTCTAAATTTTGTTTTTGATACACCAGAAATCTAAGAAATCGAAAGTGTTGTTTCTACTACTGACAGATCACTCCCACAGTTTAAAACATGTACTGCTGCTCACAAATAAAGTAGGTTTAAGGTCAAATCTGCTCCTATTTACAAAATAATAATGTAATAAAACTGCCTGGTCACAAAACAATCAAGAAAATTGATATCTTTGTTCTGTTTGTTCTGTTGTTGACATTTTGTTCTCATTTGAGAACGTGAAATTAATTACTTTGATTAACCAAGGTTTACATGGTGGATTTCATCAATGAAGCAGAAGATGCTTACTCCTCCAGAACACCTGGTCTTATTATTCTTGTACTTTTTCAGGAGTCTCTTTAAAATCTTTCCTTTATTCTTATTTTGCCCTAGTTTTATGGAATTTGAGTTTGAATTATGATTATGTTGCCATGTTGGTATTTTCTTAATGTTTTTTCCAACTCTCAACAATTCTTTTTTGACATTTGACACCCATAAACATATTCACCATGGTACGTCCATTCTTCTTGCCATGTATCTGAGGTGAGATTAGGGCAACCTCAAATTTGACCTTTTTCTCCAGCTCCTCTGACATAGCATTAGCTTCATTCACTAACTGTAACATCTGGACAACCTCCTCCTGGAGGATCATATCCTCTGTGAACCAACCAATCAGAATCAGAGTTACATTTACACTAAACCAATCACAAGCCTCATATAAAAAGGCAAACATAAGTTGTATGGTCCATAACTATAGCATATCCAATCTCTTCAAGGGGACAATGTAATTAATGTATTACAAGTGAGTTGGGAAACACACAGAAAAAGACATTTTTGTACAGTTTTGAAGGATTTGATATACACAGAGATAATTGTTAATCAATAATCATCATAACATCAAGTTCTTTACCTTCCGGGGTTGGATAGTTTTTTGTTTTTCTTTTTTGATTCTTTTAAGGCTTAACAAAATTATAATTTTTTTGTTAGTGTTTCTATTGATGTTTGGTCCAGAAGTATTTACCAAGCATATTTTTTTGTGTACCATGTCTATCTAAAATCTGTAAGTGATATGATGAAAAATTAAAACAGGAATTTTTAGTAATTTTTAAAAAGTTAATTTTAATCATGTTTTGGACTTTAGTTATCATACACATAATTTGGGATTACTTTTTCAATTGATAATTAATTTTCCTTTTTTTTTTCGGATAGTTTTATCTATTAACATAATTCTTGGTTGGTGTATATGTTAAAATTTGGAAGTGACAATACTTTCATGTGCTATATATAATTAGCTGCAGTGTATCATTGGCATCCCAAGGAATATAACCGACAACAATGAACTTTGATTAACAATTATCTCTGTGTATATCAAATCCTTCAAAACTGTAACTCTGTTACTAATACACTACACACGCTGCCTGTCAAAAGTTTTGGGAATTTTACCCCAGAATATAGTATTATCTGATTAATTTCTTCATTCCCTGAATACTTGTATCATGGCAATAAAATATACTTACACAATAGGATGATGCTCCATAACTTTAAATTTGTTGGTTATAAATTTGATCTTAAGAAACTATTTTGCAGTTGTTTCCTTCCTCAAACTTTAGTTTTTGCAATCTGATTTTTTAGATGCTACATGGTGTATATATGTGTACATCTCTAGGTCCCTTTTACTGAATATGTTGGATAGTTAGAGGTCCATCTATGACATTATAATGATAGGATTTGTTAATGGGGTACCACATCCATCCTCCCACAACCTTTGTCAAATCAGTGTCATATCTTGACAACATGTAAACAAATTATCTACCACACAGAAAGCTGTCTAAGTGTTACATCTGAGTGTCTAAGTGTTCTGTCTGAGTACTTGAGTGTTCCATCTGAGTGTGCCGTCTGAGTGTCTGAGTGTTCCGTCTGAGTGTTCCATCTGAGTGTCTGAGTGTTCCGTCTGAGTGTTCCGTCTGAGTGTCTAAGTGTTCCGTCTGAGTGTTCCGTCTGAGTGTTGTGCCTGAGTGTTCCGTCTGAGTGTCTGAGTGTTCCGTCTGAGTGTGCCGTCTGAGTGTACTGTCTGAGTGTACTGTCTGAGTGTGCCATCTGAGTGTCTGAGTGTTCCGTCTGAGTGTGCCGTCTGAGTGTACTGTCTGAGTGTGCCATCTGAGTGTCTGAGTGTTCCGTCTGAGTGTTCCGTCTGAGTGTCTGAGTGTTCCGTCTGAGTGTTGTGCCTGAGTGTTCCGTCTGAGTGTCTGAGTGTTCCGTCTGAGTGTGCCGTCTGAGTGTATTGTCTGAGTGTACTGTCTGAGTGTGCCATCTGAGTGTCTGTTCCGTCTGAGTGTGCCGTCTGAGTGTACTGTCTGAGTGTGCCATCTGAGTGTCTAAGTGTTCCGTTTGAGTGTCTGAGTGTTCCATCTGAGTGTGCCGTCTGCGTGTCTAAGTGTACCGTCTGAGTGTTCCGTCTGAGTGTTCCATCTGAGTGTGCCGTCTGCGTATCTAAGTGTACCGTCTGAGTGTTCCATCTGAGTGTGCCGTCTGCGTATCTAAGTGTACCGTCTGAGTGTTCCGTCTGAGTGTTCCAGGTATGAACAGGTGAGGTAATCATAAGTAGGATCCTCAGGTAAAAAAACTATGTAATTTTAAATCCACCAACCTGTCTTATCGCCAGAAGGGACAGAAGATGATTTTTAGACTTCAGAAATTTTACAAAACTTCAGAATGATTATTATTTATTTTGAATTTTCTGTGTCAATCTGATTTAAAACACACTACTGCAACACAAAACAAAAGAACCTAGATTAAGACGAAATAATCAATTGTGTGTTCACAAACAAGGGATCTTGGAACACAGTATTGTATGTTCTTACCTTGAAAGTCTGAAATTTTCTTTTTTTGTACTTTATACTCTAAATTGCTCTTATTTATATGAAATTTGATAATTTGTCTTCAGAAATTGCAATAGTAATCTTTAACTGTCAAATCCAAGAAGCTCGCCTGCCACTGTAGCATGGCATTGTAAAGCATGGTGAAATGAACAAATTCAAGATGGCTGCCCATTGGCCATTTAGTTTATCAACAATGCAATACTCTCACTAGGCACCAAGCCTTGGTGACCAAGGGGACCTTCATATGAAATTTGGGAAAGAAACATTTATATTATTTTCATATTCTGAAATTCCAACTGGCCAGATCTAACAAGGCCATCTTTAATCCTTTTCTGATCTGTCTAAAGATTAAAAGGACAGTACTTAGAGGGACTAAGATGAACCAACATAAATCTGATAAAGATCCATCCACTGTCAAGTACTTATTAAAAATAGTCATAACAAGAATTGTTTAAGGACCAAAGGTTGATGTAAGCGTGACAGATGGATGGATTAACGGGTCAATTACCTCGGATATTTTTAATGAAAAACCCTTCATCAAACAATTAACGGTGGACTGACAAAATAAAATATTGTCAACTCAAGTATTTGAGCTGAAAAAGTGCATTTCAAAATGTGTATTAATCACTTGTATAAAAGAATGTACTCTCTTACCAACTCTTAAATGACAACGTCTGCAACAATTTTCAGCAAGTATAGAAAAACGTTGGTGTTCAAAACAAATAACAAAAGTTCAGAAATGAAATTCTTTTCACCAATCTAGGTCTCAGAGATGTTTTTGATAATAAACAAATTATGATGTCTCCTCTGTGATCAACAAACACATGATAGACTTCAATCATTATAAAATGCTTGCCCTGTACCTGCAGATTTGCCTTCTGCATTCATAAGACCAGATTTCTGAGCAATCTCCTCTTGAGCAGAATCGAATGTAGGTGTTTCAGTTTTTTTGCCCTCTTTCATGTTTTTAGCTTCATCTTGAGGATGGTGTAACACATACATATTGTTGGCACCAAAAAGAAGTCTGTAACAGGAAAAGACTGACATTACACCAGTTTCCAGGACAGATTACTGCATTTAAAACGAAGTCAACAATTTTTACGAAAACTGGAAAAATAATCAATTTTGTTCTCTTTAAAGATAATGGATAGTCAACCATTTAAATCTATTTATAGCTGAATTGTAATTATATATTTTATTAACAATTTTTTATCTTTGTTTCAAAATACAGAACATTTTATACCAAAAACCAAGCAGATAACGAGACATTTCATAGCATTTTAAATTTCCCAATTTAAATGAGACAATTTTGAAGAGCATGTGTCATTTGTCGATGGATTTGCAGGTAGACTGACAAATAAATTTAGAATTTTACCAAACTGAACATATCAATAGAATTTCAGTTACTTTCTTTACTTTTTCCATTTTTTTAACTTTCTAGAAAAAAGTTCAAAATAAACAGTTTATAAGACCAACTTTACATAAATTCTTAACATTCAGATGAAGTGATATTTTCATGAGCAATCACAGTTATCTAACATAAAGTAATCAATCAAGAAGATTTCTAATTTATACTGGGATGTTTGGACACTATGATGGATATAACACATGTACAACACAATCTACCATGTAACCAGCTGATGTCCTCTGCATTTTATCAATGAAACAAATTTCTCCAAAAATTATCTTTATGAAGAAATGTATCTTGACTGATCTTGAGATGCATTAACGTGACAACAAAATGGTTACCATGGTAACTTACCTGTCATTATGGTGGAGCTGTGTATCTTTGATTATCCTCTGACCATTCACCAGAATCTTAGCTTTCTCCATTGGCTTGATAGATATGGTGTTGTTTTTATTTGTGACAACAGCATGGGCAGGTAGTATACTGTGGAAACAAAACATTCTTTTTATAGATTTCACATCATTTGTCTGTGAATTTAACTTATATACATGTATATAACAGTCTTGTATTCAGTGATTCAGCCTTTTAGATATTTTTCCATTGTTGGTAATCTATGGTCCTGATCATAGGTTATAGAGGATAATCTGTTTTCTAAAAGGAACTTTGAAATAAAATTATTTTTTCAAAAGGGACATAATTTCAATGAGTGAAACAAACATCACTGAAGTATTACAAGATTTTAAAGATTTAATATAAAGAATGTTTAATTGGTGCTTGAACAGCCAAGGTCAATTTAGGCCTCCTTATAACAGCAGAGGTCTGGTGGCTTATAATGTAAGATCTGAAAATAACACAGAAAGCCAAACACATGACATGTGAAACATGTTAGATTTAAGTGTTTTGCCTCAGGACAAATCTTTGAATATTCTGTACAAATGGATAAGACAGTCTGTAAAATCAGTTTCCTAAGAAACACAGACTGCTCTGAGTAGGGACGGAGCAATCAGTTTCCCAAACTGCTCTGAAGAAACACAAGACTGCTCTGAGTGCTCTGAGGGACGGAGCAATCAGTTTCCTAAGAAACACAGACTGCTCTGAGTAGGGACGGAGCAATCAGTTTCCTAAGAAACACAGACTGCTCTGAGTAGGGACGGAGCAATCAGTTTCCTAAGAAACACAGAAACTACTGCTCTGAGTAGGGACGGAGCAATCAGTTTCCTAAGAAACACGGACTGCTCTGAGTAGGGACGGAGCAATCAGTTTCCTAAGAAACACAAACTGCTCTGAGTAGGGACGGAGCAATCAGTTTCCTAAGAAACACAGACTGCTCTGAGTAGGGACGGAGCAATCAGTTTCCTAAGAAACACAAACTGGACTGCTCTGAGTAGGGACGGAGCAATCAGTTTCCTAAGAAACACAAACTGCTCTGAGTAGGGACGGAGCAATCACGGACTGCTCTGAGTAGGGACGGAGCAATCAGTTTCCTAAGAAACACAAACTGCTCTGAGTAGGGACGGAGCAATCAGTTTCCTAAGAAACACAGACTGCTCTGAGTAGGGACGGAGCAATCAGTTTCCTAAGAAACACAGACTGCTCTGAGTAGGGACGGAGCAATCAGTTTCCTAAGAAACACGGACTGCTCTGAGTAGGGACGGAGCAATCAGTTTCCTAAGAAACACAGACTGCTCTGAGTAGGGATTGAGTGAAACATCTTAAATCTTCACCAAAGGTTGTAAAGTTCAATGATCTACCAACATAACTATTACCACCCTCTACTGAGGATGGAAAAGACAGAAGGACAATTAGATTTCAGTAGATTTGGTCTTTCCTTAACCTTGTTGAGAGCTTAGTTGACAACAACGTTCTTTTTATATACTAACCTTAATCCGGACAGTGTAATATCTGCTGGAGGGCTTGCCTTCTTGTTTCCCAACTTCGATGTTCCTAGATAACAGATCAGATTCTTTTTATAATAGGTTCATCACTTTATATAACTTAAATTTAAAAAATGGGTGGGCTTATTACCAGGAGTGTGTTTATTGCCAGGTTAATACAGTACTTGGTATTTTGACCAACATAATCCCAGCAAAGCTTCTAGATCATATACATCTCATTCAATAAAGGGCCATAACTCTGTAGTGAAACAATAGACCATTTCTTAGTACGAAACATGCCCCTATCTATCATGTATAAATTCCCAGAGAACTTATGGACATATGGATTTAATTTATGTGTTAATAGACACTTGTTTACCCTTCACTTACTATGAGTCGGGATGATGTAAAATCTTGTCTCTCACGAGATACATATACAACATGGAAACTATCAGTAACTGGATGGATTATGACTTTATACTTAAGGATGAGAAGGATGAAATGTCTATAAACATCACCTATGATAAAATTCATTACCTTCATTGACAAAATGAACCACCATAGCTGTGAGGGCTGGATCCTCATTTAGATTCCAAAAGTGTGGAATCACTTTTCTGTCAGCCTGTCTTTTGTTGTCGTCCTCCATATTGCCCTGATGGTAGACAGAACTTTGTATATTAATTATTGTGACAAAATTACTTTCTGCTTCTTGTGATCTCTTTGTCTTCTTCTAGGCTTCAATATAGCATTAATGGTTATAAAAGGTTGCTAATTATTGACACAATCTATCATGATTCAAATAAATACTTTAAAACCTTGCCAACATATTTGTCTTCTGATTGTAACCAAAAGCTGTTCAACAGTTAAACACTTTCCTTGCTCGGGGAAATTAACCCCTAAGAAATATGAATTCTATTCCCTACAGCAAGGGTTTAATAGATATGACAGAAACTAAATCAATACATAATGGAAAGTTGTCCTCTAATAACAGATGTATGTTTTTACTTTATGTGTAAAATAAATAAAACTGTTTTTGAAGAGCTGGAAATACAGTTTTCTCTCTAGCTTGTGGGTACTTGTACCCATGTTGTCCAATTTGCATTTCATTTTAAGTGAAAATATTTGTCACTATCAATTCCTGTAAATCTGTTTTTGTTTTTTTCAGTACATGATAAAAGTGAGAGTTGTCCTCACCGAACTACTGGTTTTACTCTCCTGCATTCTCTGTTCCCATGTCTTCTTCATATTCTCCATTTCCTCTTGATTCTGTCTCACCTGCTCCTCCAACTGTTTCTTCATCTCTTCTACCTCTGCATCATCATCATCATCATCATCATCATCATCATCATCATCATTAATCATCATCATTAATCTTAATATTTTTCATTTCAATAATCACTTTTGGATTCAAAAGAAACACTTTGTCTCCTCAAATGATTTGATAACTTTGAATTGATAGAAAATAAGTTTAGATAAACTAAAAATATGATAAATGATATTAAAATTAAGTTTAAGATGAAATAACAAGGCTCTTTCAAATAACCTTGGTGGATACATGTGTGTTATACAACAGATATCATCAACTTAAGACCTGATTAATGATGCAGAACCTGCTGGTGGTCAGTTATCACAAAATAAATACAGCTTCAGTTGAAACAGGTAAAACACATTACCACACCAACACTGACCATGCAATTTACCATATAACAGGTTTTTTTCACCATTGTCTATTTTTTGCTGTAAGAGATATACAGGCTCCCGATTTGATACCATTTGTGTTGGGCAAAATAAACCTGTTATTTGGTAAAGGAAATAAAAAAAATAATTGTCCTGTGTACATCAAAAATGATATCTCCCTTTATAATTTAATACACACAGAAATTGTTCCAATCTATAAACTTTCACATTTATCAAACAATAAGCCCAGATGTATAATCTTCACAGGGATTGGTCACAATTTATCTGTTTAGGTAATATATTTTACAAAACCAACATGGCAAAATTAAAATAGGACATTTCTGGATTACTCATCTTATCTATCTTAAACAGGCAAGGGGCCAGAACACTATCACTAGAAAATGAAAAATATTTTGTTGGCATTATGACTGAACAATACTTCAGGTGTCAACAAGTTGAATTCTTTATATGGAAACACCTGACAGATATGTCTGAGATAATTTCAGGATTTAACAACAAATGAAATCTGTCCTCTGAGGTACTAAAAGTTGGGAGACATTTATATTGTTACTATGACAACACACAATGGCTGTCACTTAATTCTATTTCTTGTGTAACATTCTAATTAATTACTGTAGATGTTTCTTTTATAGAAAATTTAACTCATCCAGAGCTGGTAATGATTGGCTTAACCTATATTCCTCAATCTCTGAAATATTACCAAATGGTATTCAGGCAAGGGATGTGAGTAACCAACCAGAGGTAGTGTTGGCGTTACTCCTGAATTAATTAACACATATTGATGGGCATACTAATAAGTCTGGGCTTATGGAAAGATAAGTATGGTCTATTTATAGATTGTCACTCTCTTTCAACACTCCTATCCAGAGACATCAACATTGAAAGATATCACAGAGATAATGTCTCTGATTATAATACCTCAGCGTTATCTGTTAACAATCCATGATTAACAGGTATAATGAAGACGTATACACAGATATTTGAAGTCAAAGGAGGGAAACACACAGGAATTAATCTAGATCCAAGATGGAATATCACAGATATATTTGTTACGAACCATGAAGGAAAACAAATTAGGCATTTGTCTAGAAGTAGGAGGGAATGTCATACAGACATTTGTATGGAACAAGGAAGGAATGTCATACAGATTTTTGTATGGAACACAGAGGGAATCTAGTCACAGCAGTTTGTTCTGAACCAAGATGAATATAGTATCCATCATACATGAGAGAATAATAAACACAACGAGAAAATGATATATATACGTGTTTCTGGATGTAAAAATACTGATACTAAGAGTGTTAAATAAACATAGATTTGGTAGAGATCTACAAAACAGTGTAGAGATTGGTTTATAAAAAAGAATTATGATAAGAAATAAAATTCATGAAAAATGACCAAAAACCTGAAACAAATCACAGTCATGTAGCTGATTTTTCTCTTAAGACATTAAGTGAAATTTTGATTTTAACCTTATTTAAGAGATTATAAAAAAATAATTTTACTTAGCTCAAGATCCTATATAGTCTAAAATGTTTATAAACTGACTTTCTCTCATGGCTGCTAAATCTCAAGACCTCCACATCACATCATGTTTGCATTAACACTCGCATAAAACACTATACATTGCTATAATGTAATATTTGTTTTTCATTTCTGTCTTAATTTGTATCAACTTTTTTGAATTAGTTTTATCAAAATTCATAAAAATAAATTGCATGTGGAAAAAAAAGCTGATTAAAAGTATTGAGAATGAATCCTATTTTTATGTAAGTGACTAACATTTCAAAAGGAGAGATCAAGTAATGTAGTTAATGAAATGATGGACCATAAATTAGGTAGGTCAGAATACATTTGTCACAGAGAGTATACAGAGTTTCAAACATATGATTAATATTGAAGAAGGAAAAAGTACCTGAATACAATTTCAGTAACAGGCAAAACTATTAACTAGCTCTTTAAACTCGCCTAGTAACAAGATTATAAATCAAAGCATTATTACTAATTACATCTGATAAGAAAAAATGGCCGGACATTAAAATCACAACTTATTATGTACTGTGAACTCTGATGTACCACAGATATCAAGATTTTAATCTTCTTTTGAAACAAAGAAACCACAGTTTTAATAAAAAATATTTAAACTTTTGGAACTAAACCTGACAGCAATGATAAAATGTTTTACATTAATTTACTCTAAAAGCAAATTTACAATGATAATTTGTATTATGCTTATCTGAAACCACAATTTATAAAAATGTTTAAAACTGCATGGGAAACCTAGATGTAATTAGGATTATAAAAAACCCACTAATTCTATTATCGTTTCAATACTCGGATACAGAATGGTGATGACAATGTTGTGGAGTGACTACAATTTTCACTGTTGTCACTATCATATCGAAAGTGCTTCAGATTAAACAAAATTAGATAGAAAAATACTTCACAACATTTAAAATATCTCACTAATAAACTCTGTGTGTTAAAATTTCATTTTAAAACTTCATCTGATTTAACAGATTGATTAAATTAGGAAAATAATCATATAACTTGATAAAATTGTTAGAAAACTTGTTTGAGAAAAGATAAAAAGGTAGATTTGAAGATGATGTCTGAGTTTTGGATAAAAGAAAGGCGAGATTATGATTTAAAGGAGATAAACTGTTACTAGTAGTAAAACCACTGTAAAATCTGGATGTTTAACATCAAAGTTTGGATGTTGGTATTATTTTCAATTGGTCTGAAAAATAAAAACATCACTTGAGAAACATTTTAATATTAAATATTTTTTTAATATTTTGTAATCTTATCCTTCTGGTTGTCATGGAAACTTGAAAATTGCCTGATTTGAACACCATGATTAGAGGTAATGGATTTTGTTGCTCTCTTGTATGTAAATGTAATATTCTGTTTCTCACTTGTATGTAAATGTAATATTCTGTTTCTCACTTGTATGTATGTAAATGTAATATTCTGTTTCTCACTTGTATGTAAATGTAATATTCTGTTTCTCACATGAATGTAAATGTAATATTCCTTTGCTCATTTGAATGTAAATGTAATATTCTGTTTCTCACATGAATGTAAATGTAATATTCCTTTGCTCACTTGTATGTAAATGTAATATTCCTTAGCTCACTTGTATGTATAATATATGTTCATATGACTGGAAGCTATCCAGATAAAATGTATCTATCATTTCAAAATGTTTCTCAAGTGACATTTTAGTTTGTTTGCAAGAATAATTCTAGAATTCTTACTTTTTTTTAAAAAGTTGTTCATAAAAGAAAGAAATAATGATAGATATGATATACTGAAGAAATGAAAACAATTCTGTTTATGTCAAATAAATGTTCTTCCAACATGAAACATTTCCAGATTTCTACAGTTTATTTACAGAATTACAGACATGTACTTCAAATTCTGAAACTGTTGTGTAGGAATTGTAACCTACAAAGATCAAACAGAATCAGGTCAACAAAATGTTTTGTATAGATGGCAGTTGTAACTATACCACATTTTATTTAGTATGAACTGATCACTAAGATATTTTATATCTTAAATGAAAAAAATCTGAATATTTGTTTACAAAGAACTTTAAAGTTACAGACATCTGTCCCTTTACCTCCCTGCATTAACCAAATTATCTAAAAACATGCATTTTACTAAGAATCTCAAATCCACAAACCATTGTTTTCAGCATCACATGTTTTATATAATCAATCGACATATCAAATACATCCACTGGCTCTAGAACTACAGTGTGTGATATTAATGATAAGCACCTAATAGTTTAATGGGTTAGTACCTAAATAAGACAAAATGTTTCTGCTTACAATTTATACTAACTTTTCATTTCTAATCACCCATCAGATACAAAATTATCAACCCTACTGTAACCCATCATACAAATTTATATCAACCCTGCTGTAACCCATCATACAAATTTATATCAACCCTGCTGTAACCCATCATACAAATTTATATCTACCCTACTGTAACCCATCATACAAATTTATATCAACCCTGCTGTAACCCATCATACAAATTTATATCTACCCTACTGTAACCCATCATACAAATTTATATCTACCCTACTGTAACCCATCATACAAATTTATATCTACCCTACTGTAACCCATCATACAAATTTATATCAACCCTGCAGTAACCTATAAATACACAAAACTATCTACCCTACTGTAACCCATCATACAAATTTATATCAACCCTGCAGTAACCTATAAATACACAAAACTATCTACCCTACTGTAACCCATCATACATAAACATAAAAACCCTACTGTAGCCTATCATCACTAGTGTAACCCATCAATATACACAGCTATCATCACTAGTGTAACCCATCAATATACACAGCTATCATCACTAGTGTAACCCATCAATATACACAGCTATCATCACTAGTGTAACCCATCAATATACACAGCTATCGTCACAGTGTAACCCATCAATATACACAGCTATCATCACTAGTGTAACCCATCAATATACACAGCTATCATCACTAGTGTAACCCATCACTAGTGTAACCCATCAATATACACAGCTATCGTCACTAGTGTAACCCATCAATATACACAGCTATCGTCACAGTGTAACCCATCAATATACACAGCTATCGTCACTAGTGTAACCCATCAATATACACAGCTATCGTCACTAGTGTAACCCATCAATATACACAGCTATCATCACTAGTGCAGTACACAAAACTATACTATAATGCATGAAATTCAAAACTATTATTCATACTGTGACATAGACCTTCCTATAAGGAAATCAGTTCTGACCCATGTTCTAAGGCCTACAACAGTATGAACATGTGTTTGTACCATAATTCTGAGTGATCTTAGTAATTTACATCATGCCTGAAATTCTACAAATTCATAATTTTGTACACAAACCACTGAGTTTTCCATCTGAAAAATGCTTACCCTCATCTGGGAAAATATAATATACAAGACCACAGTGTCAGTATTAGGTATTAAACAACAAAAACAACAACATATTACTCCATCTGATTAAAGTTTTGTATGTTAATTTGTTTCTGAAACACTTTGAATATTTAGTCACGCTTCTTTAATATATATATATATATCTTTTTATTTTAATTTTCTATTTTTATTTTGAGCCAAGAGTATTTATTTTTAATTGATAATTTCAATATTCATCTTTTTACAATGTAAAATCATTCCAAACATACACTTACAAAATATAGCTTTAAAATACTCAGTAATAGATGAAAATGATAAAATGTAAAGCAAAGCCAACAAAACCTGTATAAACAACATTGTAAAATGGTCATTCTAAAACATCATGCATGTTACGATTCCAGACATTATATAAACATAACAAGCTGGCCTTCTGTCTAGTAAGTTATATATACCTGTTACAAGCTACATGCAACAAAACACACTGACTCCAATTTACTGATAATCTGACTGCATCATAACAATTAGAGATATATTCATATATTCTGAGTACCATGCATGACATGCTATTTCAGCCAAACCAACATCGAGTCACATGCTATATATATATGGACTCTTTTTTTCTATTAATTCATACAAAATAATACATGTCATAAAAAGACTGAGACACTCCATGTCAAAATAATATTCCTGATAGAGGGTTTAACTGAGACTTGTCTGAAGTAGAAATTGTCATCTTAATCACTTCGTAGCTACATATCTAATTTATTTGGTTAAACAAAAATGTTCCACTTTCTAACAATCTGAACTGATCAACCTGACTTTCCTAAATATTCTATTTATAGAAATAACCACAATGCTGTTTAAAGGTTATGACCTTGACCTTACCTGAGTTTGCTGAGCCACCACCTCCTACTCCTCCAATTAGGGCTGCTGCCATTTCAGGAGAAAGACCGCCTTGTTTAAGCATATCCATAAGACGTGCATTTTCTTCCCGGAGTTCTCTGATAAGTCGATCTGTTGGACTTTCATTTACAGTGGCAGTGGTTTTAATGGCCTTTGCCCTGTCAGCTGTTTATGTATCAGACAGATGACATAACATTATTGTAAAAGGAAAATAATGAAATCTTCCAAAATGTTCTAAAAATCGCATTTTAAAAGAAACAACATATTATATGATAAGTGCATAAGGACACAAATTCTGAATGTTGTAACAATTTCAGAAATCAAAACACATTTTTATCCATTTACAGTAATCCAAATTTCTTACAGTTACTACATGTACACAGTATATAAAATGTATATCTTAATGATTTCTCTTCATATTATCAATATATTCAGTAAGGAACTTTATTTTGATAATTAAAATCTTCATACAACATCTACACAAATGAAGAAGAACAATCTCTTGGAATGGGTACATCTTATTACCTAGTTAAGCCTAGATTGGGAACATCTTGTATAAGCTGGAAAATTATCTAGATATGTCTAGATTGGGAACATCTTGTATGAGCTGGAAAATTATCTAGATAAGCCTAGATTGGGAACATCTTGTGTAAGCTGGAAAATTATCTAGATAAGTCCAGATATGGTACATCTTGTGTAAGCTGGAAAATTATCTAGATAAGTCTCGATTGGGAACATCTTGTATGAGCTGGAAAATTATCTAGATAAGTCTGGATTGGGAACATCTTGTATTAGCTGGAAAATTATCTAGATATGTCTGGATTGGGAACATCTTGTATGAGCTGGAAATTATCTAGATAAGCCTAGATTGGGAACATCTTGTATGAGCTGGAAAATTATCTAGATAAGTCCAGATATGGTACATCTTGTGTAAGCTGGAAAATTATCTAGATCAGTCTGGATTGGGAACATCTTGTATAAGCTGGAAAATTATCTAGATAAGTCTGGATTGGGAACATCTTGTATAAGCTGGAAAACTGATCAGATGAGCCTAATGCTGTGTATAAGTGTTATCTGTTATATCTGTGAAACAAAACCCTTAACGTAATGTCCTCACAAGTATGAGTAGTAAAACTATGAGCTATAACACTGGTAATACTCCATTTAAAAGTCTTGTATTTTTAGGTATATGCTATATTGGCATCTAATTTGGAATTGCAATGAAGAGTGATTCTCCTAAAATATCTTTATCATACTAACCAAATCGTAATGTGGACAGTGTCTCCTCATAGTTAATATCAGCGGGACTTAACGCTGCTATCTGCAACATCAAACAAACATTTGATTTAATTAAACTTTTTGTATCAAGGTCAATTTTCATAGTAGTGTGGATGGCAGTCACCTCCTAGATTTCTATTAAAACTCATAACTCAATGAAGACTTCCTTGGGATTAGAAGCAATGTATTTAATTGGAAGCAATCAATTTCAACATATTTGTCACATTGAAACGAATAAGTGCAAGTGGGTAGTGAGGTTATTAGATTTAGTGCTGGCTAGGTAATGGGATTATCACTGGGGAGAACACTGGATAGTAATAAGACCACTGGATTAGTGGTGGTTGGATAGGAATAGGACCACTGGATTAGTGGTGGCTGGATAGTAATAGGACCACTGGATTAGTGATGGCTGGATAGTAATAGGATCACAGGATTAGTGGTGGCTGGATAGTAATAGGACCACTGGATTAGTGGTGGCTGGATAGTAATAGGATCACAGGATTAGTGGTGGCTGGATAGTAATAGGACCACTGGATTAGTGATGGCTGGATAGTAATAGGACCACTGGATTAGTGGTGGTTGGATAGTAATAGGACCACTGGATTAGTGATGGCTGGATAGTAATAGGATCACAGGATTAGTGATGGCTGGATTAGTGGTTAGTGGTGGTTGGATAGTAATAGGACCACTGGATTAGTGGTGGCTGGATAGTAATAAGACCACTGGATTAGTGATGGCTGGATAGTAATAGGACCACTGGATTAGTGGTGGCTGGATAGTAATAGGATCACTGGATTAGTGATGGCTGGATAGTAATAGGACCACTGGATTAGTGGTGGTTGGATAGTAATAGGACCACTGGATTAGTGGTGGCTGGATAGTAATAGGATCACTGGATTAGTGATGGCTGGATAGTAATAGGACCACTGGATTAGTGATGACTGGATAGTAATAGGATCACAGGATTAGTGGTGGCTGGATAGTAATAGGACCACTGGATTAGTGATGGCTGGATAGTAATAGGACCACAGGATTAGTGATGGCTGGATAGTAATAGGATCACTGGATTAGTGATGGCTGGATAGTAATAGGACCAGTGGATTAGTGATGGCTGGATAGTAATAGGATCACAGGATTAGTGGTGGCTGGATAGTAATAGGACCACAGGATTAGTGATGGCTGGATAGTAATAGGATCACTGGATTAGTGATGGCTGGATAGTAATAGGACCAGTGGATTAGTGATGGCTGGATAGTAATAGGATCACAGGATTAGTGGTGGCTGGATAGTAATAGGACCACTGGATTAGTGATGGCTGGATAGTAATAGGATCACAGGATTAGTGGTGGCTGGATAGTAATAGGACCACTGGATTAGTGATGGCTGGATAGTAATAGGACCACTGGATTAGTGATGGCTGGATAGTAATAGGATCACAGGATTAGTGATGGCTGGATAGTAATAGGACCACTGGATTAGTGGTGGCTGGATAGTAATAGGATCACAGGATTAGTGATGGCTGGACAGTAATAGGACCACTGGATTAGTGGTGGCTGGATAGTAATAGGACCACAGGATTAGTGATGGCTGGATAGTAATAGGACCACTGGATTAGTGGTGGCTGGATAGTAATAGGACCACAGGATTAGTGATGGCTGGATAGTAATAGGACCACAGGATTAGTGGTGGCTGAACAGTGGGCTTATTGGATTATGGATGTCTGGAGAGTTGTGTCACCAGATTAGTGATGATTTCTAGTAATTTGACAACATGATTGCTGGTGACAGCTTGTTGGAATGAGGAGAAACATTACCAATATACACACTACCTACCATGATAGTTTTACTGTTGCCTCCTAACGCATTCTGTAACAGCTTTGTCAATACTGAATCACGGTAAGGCACTGAAATGATCATATTTAATATTGATTCAAGTGACTTAATATCACAAGTAGCTACTCCTTCTGCATTTATGCTTACAATTTTTTCATTCTCGTTTCACTTCAGCCCTATCCATAAATCCAATTTCAAATTCTTTAAATATCACATATCTTTTGACCACTTCATTAACATTCCATTAATATTTAATTTTCTGGCCACCTCATTAACCAATCATTAATGTTTATCCTTCGGAACACTTCATTAACCATCCATTAATGTTACCCTTCTGATCACCTCATTAACAATCCATTAATATTGACCCTTCGGAACAACTCTTTAACCATCCATTAATGTTACCCTTCTGATCACCTCATTAACTATTCATTAATATTTACCCTTATGACCATCTCATTATTATTTCATTGATAACCTATCACTCTTCCATTAATATTAACTCAATATGAGATTAAAAGTCATATTGGAAGAAATAATAAAAAAAGATAATGGTGCCTGAAACTGAAACACGAACATATAATTAAAAATTTGTGTATGTTAAAGTCCTGTTCTGGAATTTTGGTACCCACCTACAGTTTTCTTTTTGCCTGTAGACAGGTCCGCCAGAGCCTTAATGACGTTACCAAGGGAACTCAGAGACTGGTTAATAGCTGAACCTTCTTTTAATCTGTCCCCTGTAGCACCTGTCGAGTCAGCTCTCTCACTGTAATGGACCGATTTACATCATGGTTATTTGTGTAATTTATCAAAGCCATGAAAACAAGTGACAGTCAACCTTCTTATACTACTTCACTGACATTTCAGATGGCATCATTTTTACCTTTAACCTCAGAAGACGACAGCTAGGTCCTGTAAGTCTGTATTCTGATGATACAAATGCATACATTTATGTTAACATTCATTAGATAAATAATTACTTGTGCCGGTGATAGGGATTTCAGAATATCCCTGTTGAATAGACAACTTATTGTGGGGCACACCCTGCAGTTTGTGCTTGGTTTTTCTATTTTCCTCTGTTTAGGGGACAACAGAGTGACCAAGAACAGGGTTTACTGCATTCTACTGCATATTTGTAGAGAGCTACTAAATGTAGGCCACTCATAAAATCAGAGGTTTTCTCTGTCTGTTATTAACGGGAATTTTGGAACATTTTCTTCAGATTGGTAATGTCAATAGAATAGAAGTTGGAAGTTCTTATAACAAACGTAGTAGAAGCTTACCGTGTGACGTTTTGATGACTACACAGTCACCTTCATAAGACAAATGACCAGTGTGGAAGAGATAAAAATAGATCTGCTGTCTCCATGACAACACTGACTCGGGATCTTGATATTTGCATTTCTTGCTATATTGCCCTTTCTTTTTGTGCATTATTTCTGAATCTTGTTGTCTTTATGGACACTCATCCTGTCATATATGTTCCTGCCCTTATGAGGATGTTGTAACCCATAAAAACAATTACGATAATGTAAAAAAGCAGACTTACCTCCCTGCCAGATCTACAAGGTTGACAATGGCAGTCCTTGTCATGCTTTGTCCAGTCTCGTTTGGTGTCTTCTGAGTAAATGTGATGGCCACAATGGTATGGGCTCGACTTAAACACAAACAAGAGTATCAGTGAAACTGGTGAATGCTCCATTAGAACAACTTTATTGGACACAAAATTTTAACAAAGAGTCATAATTCTGTAATGAAGAGGTTGCAGACCCTTAATTTCGAATACATACTCTTAATACAACGAATGTATAAACTAAGTTTTATGATCCTAATTTTAATGTAAGCAAAACTAGACTCATGACACTAATTTTTTACAAAGGGAAATAACTCTGCAGTAAGGTGTCATGGATCCAGACTTTGCTCCACTGCACCTTGTTCTTGTATAATGGATGTATAATCAAGTTTCAAAATCCTAGTCTAAATGCAAGCAAGGTAATGCTCCAGACACAAAATTATAACAAAGAGCAATAACTCTGTAATTAAGGGTTATAGATCCTAACAATGGTACCTTGCACAATGTCTCTGTGTGATCAATGTATACATGTTTCTATATCCTACCTTAAATGCAAGCAGTGTTACCATCTTGAAAAGACATTGTTAACAAATGGTAACAAAACTGTATCTGACGGTTCAAGGGCCCTTAATTTAGTGCACTGCACATTATCTTAGTACGATCAATGTATCCACCAAGTTCCATTATCCTAGTAATTCAAAAGTTTGCTATAGACATTAACTTTTAACAAAAGCTAAGAATTCTGTAATTAAGGGGTTGCAGGAAGTGAATTGGTACACTGTGCATCGTCTTTGTAGACACTTAATTTTAATAAAAAGCAGTAACTCTGTAATTGAGGGGTTGAGGGCCCTGAATTTGGTATACCGCACTAGATGAAAAGACAGATGGATGGACACACATGGCCACAACTATATATTTCCTTAAAAAAATTAAGAGGGAGCATAAAAGCAAACATTTCAGACTAATTTTGTAAAGACACTAATCTGGGAAGTGAAACTTGAATGTTTATAAATGAAAGAAGATAAAAATGACATCATTATAAACAAATAGAAAAAATAACAAACATACCATACATACCATACATACCAAACATACCATATATATCATACATACCATACATACCAAACATACCATATATATCATACATACCATACATACCATGCATACCAAACATACCATACATATCATACATACCATACATACAAAACATACCTAACATATCATACATACCATACATACCATACATACCAAACATACCATACATATCATACATACCATACATACCAAACATACCTAACATATCATACATACCATACATACCATACATATCATACATACCATACATATCATACATATCATACATATCATACATACCATACATACCATACATACCATACATATCATACATATCATACATACCATACATACCATACATATCATACATACCATACATACCAAACATACCTAACATATCATACATACCATACATATCATACAGACCATGCATACCAAACATACCATACATATCATACATACCATACATACCAAACATACCTAACATATCATACATACCATACATACCATACATATCATACATACCATGCATACCATACATATCATACATACCATGCATACCATACATACCATACATACCAAACATACCATACATACCATACATACCAAACATACCATACATACAAACATACCATACATACCATACATATCATACATACCATACATACCAAACATACCTAACATATCATACATACCATACATACCATACATATCATACATACCATGCATACCATGCATACCAAACATACCATGCATACCAAACATACCATACATACCATACATACAAACATACCATACATACCAAACATACCTAACATATCATACATACCATACATATCATACATACCATACATACAAACATACCATACATACCATACATACCAAACATACCTAACATACCATACATACAAACATACCATACATACCATACATACAAACATACCATACATACCATACATACTTAACATATCATACATACCATACATACCAAACATACCATACATACAAACATACCATACATACCAAACATACCTAACATATCATACATACCATACATACCAAATATACCATACATACCATGCAAAAGAAAGCATTGCAAAATTCTACATTTATTCTGAAGGAGGCTACAACATTGTAGTTAGCATTAAGTTCCAACATCAAAAGTTGACTTGGAAAATCTGTATAAACCTTGTACATCTGATTTCTAACCTTGAAAGTAAGCCAAGATCACTAATCTATAAAATAGCTCTTTTATGTATATGATTTTAATTTTATGTTGTTTTTACGAAGGAAAGTATTTCATAGAAATATTGCCATGGTTACCTGCTGGTGGCATTCATATTGGTAGAAGCCACAGTTCTGTTCCTTGTGCCTTCATTGATCTTGTTGTCGATCTCATTGTAACTGTTCACTGGACATGATGTCAGCTGTTCCACTACAAACATCCATCAAATTTGTAAATCTGACTCAAAATTTGTTTGTTACAATGATAAAGCAGATTAAAGAAATAAGACCTATTTTGTATTTCTTGGAGGTGGTAAACTATTAATTGAAAGATAATGGTCTTCAGGGCAGATATTTATGATTTAATAAATATTGACTGAAGCAGGTATGTTAAGTACAATGAAGCTGACAGACCATATAAAGCTTGATTAATAAAACTGATGTTATAGCAACAGAGACCTTGACATTTGACCTAAATTTACCTGGTATATCACTTTTTATTCAATTTTACCATTATCTATAAAAAGCTTTGTATATAAGATACATAAATTTCATTTGTTTTCATTTGTTTTACTCTTTATGATATCAAACTTCATTTATTTTACAACAATTACGAAACAAGCTATAAGTTTATATTGATCACTCTTGTTCATGAAGTTGGAATCACATGAGGGATCTTACTGTGGGAGGCACTCAGAGTACCTAGGGAAAACCAATGTGGTCGGGCAAGCAACCTCATACCTTTTCAAATCTGTTGCAGGAATTGAATCCTGGATGGCTAGGTGAAAGGCGAGTGTGTTACTACTGCACTAATTGAACAAAGCCATATATCCAACTTACCTGGTACTTTAATTTGTGCAGACTGTCTTTTATTTTTTCCAGAGTGTTACAATTAATCAATATGTCTGCCACTACTTACCATAGAATCCCTTCTTTGGGTCCTGTCGTACCTTCAGACCCCCTTTCTGGCTGATTGTTTTGGGATTCAACAAATCACGTACTTGTTCATTGTAGATCTCCAACATGCCCAGAGTGACCTATAGAAACAAATACCTCCTATATCAACAAAAGGCTCAGAGCGCCTGTATCGCTCACATGGATATTGAAACAGAAATATTCTAATTGAGAATAGTATTGTCATACAGTCATATATTTCTTAGTTTGTGCTCTGGGTGCTTAGCATTTGATTGTCGATTACATGACGCCACCAAGAATGACCAAGAAACTCAGTACACTATAGTTTTCTTTAGGGATGTAATGATATACCACAATACACAAAAATATTTATTTTCTTGCGATACAAAAAGCAGATATCTGTATATTGTATCATATCACACTGTCAGTGCTTTACATCAATTTCCTCAAGATCTTTAAAAAAATATACACTGTAGCTAACCTTTTACTGACCATGCATATTTATCTTAGACGCTTGCGGAAAGTGCTTTTAAAAAGGAAACATTTGTGAGACCCTGCATGAGTTGGTAACAAAACATGGCAATAAGTTTTTCATGTCCTTTATCATTATATTCATGGTGATAGTTTTCTTTTTCAGAGCTGGGAGTCAAAATTTATGTCAAAACTGAAAAAGGTAATACATCACAATAAATATCATGACACAGCCTCAGCCATAATGTTACGCCCCTAGTTTCCATGGTAACATTTTTAGAGTCTCCTTGAGAAAATGATCGTTACTGTTAAGAAAATTTATGATACCTTTTCTGTGAGGTACCTTTTGACTAAATTATACTGACTACTGTGAAATCATTAATTTCCTTGGGACTTTTGTTTGTGTTGATTGGGTTCTCTTAATCCATGAATTCATATGTCTTCTATCTGTTAGAATTTGTATAAAAGAACTAATTAAGCTATAATTATTCATAAAATGAAGTGTCCATAATATAGGTTATTTTGGGAAACATACAAAAATTCATCCCACAAAAATATGTTTTACAGTAAATGAGCCTCAGATTCTGGAACTTAAGAAAGAAGGTTTTCATTGTCTCTGCCTTAATTAACAACCATAGCTCTGAGTTAGACCTTACATTCAACATCAGATGACTTTACAAAAAAGTCAAGGTCGTTCATAATCGGAAATATTTTAGAAACCCATCTTAGTAAGTTATCATAATGCTAGCAATATGACCTTGCATCTTCTAGAATTTGAGTTAAAAAAAAAATCTCAAAACTTTTTAAATATTTGACCCTCATAACTATGAAATAGCTCAAAATTATTTACTAAGCGTTATAAAGAGGAAAATTCATAGCATATATGGTTCATCTGTAATTTATGATTGAAATCTGAAGAAGATTGTTAACATATTTTGCCACTGATACCTTTTCTAGTAAATAAGTCAAGGTTGTTTTTATGAGTTAATTACCAAACCTCAACAACATTTCAATTCAAGAGTTATATCAAAGACAGTTGAAAAAAGATGAAATTGGATTTCTCTTGAATATCAGAACAATTAGTTAATAAAACCTAAAAGTAAGATACAATAACTCGTATAGTGAAATTGTTTAGAACAATTAATTATAACTAATTAATTCTTAATTTAACCTAATTACTTCGCAAACTTTCTCAGTTTATAAACACTGTACAATCTTTTTATACCATAAAAAGTAAGTAAAATATTGACATATATATATCAAAAGTCCGTGGTAAATAATTTACTATGTATACAACTTATTGTCTGTTCTTTATTAGTTACCATGAACAAGGGTGAAGGATCTGTCTATATCATTGACACAACATCTGACATTGTTTATATACATGTAATGTAAAACTGGTGAAAGATTTATTTTTTGTTTGTAGAATAATCACCAGTGAATGGGAAAGATGTCATTTGATAAAGTGTTGTGATATAAATATACTGTAAAGGTAGCAGTCCAGGTAAGAATTATAAATGAACCAGGCACTGTCATGGTCTAGTATGAGAATAATGTAAGTCGTGACTATCGCTAAGGTAAACAAAATTGAATGAAATCGGGATCTATCAACAAACAGGGGATTGTGAGATTTTATTACCAACTATCAGGAGATAATTACAAGCAAAATTGAATTTCTTGTCTAAGGTTATAATACCACAGACAGTATAAAAACGACAAACACACTAGGGTGTTACAGGGGATCATTTATAGTAATAACTAAATAACATAAATCCAACATGTTGCTATAGCAACACTATAACACACAATAGCATACACTGTGTGAAGTTAACATTAAAAAATATACCTTGTACTGAATATAACTGCCAATTGTGTGAAGTTACATATACATAATATAACTGCCATTAAAAAAGTGGGTTTTTTATTGTTTTGATATTTGATTGATAAATATAGTCTCTGGTGTCTCAGGTAAAATAATACAATTGTACACAAGTCAATATCTTGTGAGGATGTATACCTGATAAAATTACAGAGTTTATTTAATCTAAAGACTGAAATACAGTACATTCATTACAAATATACAATGTCATGTACATGTCCATTCTGAACTTCACTGAAAGGAGTTAAACTCATACCTCATATTACTTTCACCTGTATTATAATACCATTCACAAATCATTGTCATTTTCTTGACGGCCACTAAGAGCCAAGACCTCAGGTCACATTTCTCAATTAGGAATCTCTCGGATATTGTAGTCTATTGATAGGGCAATATGGTATAAAGTAAAAATTAGTCAAAATTAATTGTTACAAATAACAAACATCAAAAGTTACCACAGCTGAAAGACTTACAGGCAATTGCAAAAAATACCAGACAAGAGTAGCCACAGTTGACAGACTTGTTGACAGTTGTTACAAATATGAGACATTGATAGTCATTACAGCTGGCAAACTAACAGACAATTGTTACAAATACCAGACATTATTAGTTAACTGCCTTGCTTTAATTGACAGTCCTTACAGATATCAGACATTGATAGTCGTCACAGCTGACTGTCTAATATTGACAGTTGTTACAGATATCAGACATTGATAGTCGTCACAGTTGACTGACTAATATTGACAGTCCTTACAGATATCAGACATTGATAGTCGTCAAAGCTGACTGAATAATATTGACAGTCCTTACAGATATCAGACATTGATAGTCGTCACAGCTGACTGACTAATATTGACAGTCCTTACAGATATCAGACATTGATAGTCGTCAAAGCTGACTGAATAATATTGACAGTTGTTACAGATATCGGACATTGATAGTCGTCACAGCTGACTGTCTAATATTGAGAGTCCTTACAGATATCAGACATTGATAGTCGTCACAGTTGACTGACTAATATTGACAGTTGTTACAGATATCAGGCATTAATAGTTGTCACAGTTGACTGACTAATATTGACAGTTGTTACAGATATCAGACATTGATAGTCGTCACAGCTGACTGACTAATATTGACAGTTGTTACAGATATCAGGCATAATAGTTGTCACAGCTGACTGACTTATTAACAGTTGGACATTTATCAGGAAAAATCTACAACCAAAAAATAATTTCTGTTTTGTGGTACAAATTTTACACAGATGATAACAAAACATTGGAAAAAAATTAAAGAATTAACATAGAAAAATTAAAGCATTAACTTAAACCTGTATGAAACATACATATAAACACCTTGTTACAGTGAAGTTTGTTTATATACATATTCATTGGAATTACAGAACTGTGTTTACACTGTCTGGGTATTTCGAGACTTTTACAAACTGTTGGGAATGTGGCCATTTAAATATTGCCATAAAGCTTCACCAGAACAATAGACAGAGAACCGTGAGCCGATGTTTATTGGTTTATCAAGGTATTGTCCTGTTTTATACATTGTTCATCACTGAACTATCAGCCCCCTTCCTTTATTCTGTTCATGTACAAGAGCCATTAATTTGAATGTACAAAGGAAATGGCTTTTGTTGAATTTTACAGATTGTAGCATTTATACAATCAGAGTATTATATTCTTATGGTAAAGCGATTTCTGCTGCAAGACAATTGGGTAAAATCATTGTACCACTAACTGAAAAGTTCAACATTCTACGTCCTGTTAAATATTTATTTCTTGCAATTTTCCACCTCAAAGATCATAATTCATAAAGAAAATTACTTGCTTAAACATCTGGGCTGAATTTTTCTTTTCCATATATTTCCTACTTTGTTGAGCTAAAGTTATGGCATTGTACCGTCACTAACATATGTTTTATATTTCATGAAATGTGGATCAATGTTAATTTTTTTTCAGCTCTTTGATTGTGAGGTTTACATCAATCTTAGCAAAAACTTTGAAATGCTGGCAATTTCACCATTCAGTTAATTTCATATCTGGTCAACTCTCCAATCCACTACAGTGTAAAAATCCTGCTGGTAGCTGTTATGTACTGTTTTATGGAAAATTCAATGTTCTGACCTCTGACTGTTAACACATTGCAATTAAACTATAATAAATTTAACAGTACACATTAAACATTCCCAAGACCTTGTTAGACCAAAGACAATTATAGACAGATTTTGTAGTAATCTACACGTTGATGTCCCACCAATCAGACTATAATGAATGTCTGATGTGATGTTTGTTATGGAAGTAGCTATGATACGTTAGGACAATACATATCCTGTTCTCACTACTAAACAGGTACACATCTGTTTGTGTATCTTACCAGGTAAACAATCATAAAGGTGATACAATATAACACTACCCATCATAAAATCAATTATGTGTCCTGGTATTGTTTTATAACAATTTTGTAGCTGTTATCAGCTGGATTAGATCACCTATATTTACTGTAATCATGTCACTTTCTATCTGTGTTGTTAGTATATATACACATCATAAATGTTTGACTGATACTGTGTTTCTAATCAATATGGTGGCACCATTAAATGGTTGTTTGGATCTCATGGGTAAATTACTATATATAGACCATTCAATGGCTATTTCATCTTTTCATACTGCACAGTTAGCTGCTCTTGCAGGCACGTACTTATTGTTATGCCTTTAATTTGTGAGAGAAAATTATGTTGTTTAGGACATTTTTCTTACATAAAAAGACGTAAAAATCCTTACCAACTCACAAGAGCATTTTTCTTACACAAAAAGACGTAAAAATCATTACCAACTCACAAGAGCAGATAACTCTGTACTGTATAATGTTATGATAGCATAGACAAGTTATGAATGAACCAGTCTGGTCATCAGACAACCAATCAGTAGATTTAATCAGTCGATTTAATCCTAATTTTAGTAAAATATCAATATTTTGAACCCACTAATATTTATCCAATCTCTGCATGGTATAATTTATTAATCCAAATATATTGCTGTTCAGTTAAATTATAAACTAATGTTATTTCCTTGTCCCATAACAAGTCCATCTCTAGTCATAGCTTTGATTAAGAACTATTTTTTTCAAAAATGTTTTCAAAAAAAAAAAAAAAAAATGATATATTGAATCCATAGTGACCTTTTGTAGGATTTGTGTTTATAATTTCAAATTCAAGACAATGATTTTTTCATGTACATTTGCACATCATAATAAGAATATTGGCTATTGTATTAAGTAAGAGACATATGTCTGATCAACAAACAAACAGGATTCAACCTTACAATATCATGATAAGAATTATTAGTTGTACATATCAATAAAAAACTTCAATCTTAAATCATAATTAAGCTACATGCTATAAGTTATGCTTCAAATACATATCATTTCATCACAAAATCTATGGTATATCTAGAACGCCAATCAATTAATTGTCATGCAGTGTAACACGTGATTTAACATACCATGAAACAAACACAAAATAATCCATAAGCACAGCAAAATCAAGGCCATAACATACAACTTACAAGTCAGTGTAAATACAAACAACTCCCAACGCAGCTAATCTGACGTAAATTATCTTCCCTTGGGTCGCAAGTTTTCTGATAAAATTTGTGATTCTATTTGCTTGTGTGGTTTAAGGTCAACTATATTTAGGTTAAAAGGTCTTTCAGCACGGGTAGATCAGGACCAGCATTCATCTATTTATTGTGAGGAAGAGTTGCTTTCTTTTTGATTTCTATGTTTCTGTAAGATTTGTAAGACAGGAAGAGTGTAAGCCGGGAAACATGATGATTGTGGTGGTGAGGATGCTGATGATGAAATCTGCCGACTAAAGTACTCATCGCTCGTTATCAATAAATACATAACAATTTATTACACAAGTGCTGTGTTTTTCCTGATGAGAATGTTATGTAGTGTCTAAGAGAATTATTAAGGACTGCCAAATGTGTTGATATAGATGTTTGAATGGGCTATCTATACAGGACAGCAGGTGCTGTTTCCATTGAGGTCACAACCATGCATTCATGCTGATCAAGCATAATTTACTCACACAACAATTCAGATAATCATCACTACTAGCATATGACAAGTAACATTATTAAAAGCCAATCAAAAAGATATCAAAAAGTTGAAAGAAAATCTCAGTCAACTCAGTGAACTCAAATCATATATTCTGGAACAACATACAGTCTCCCATCTGTAAACCAGAAGCAGTCATAACAAAATGGTGGGTAAAGCAACATAATTCAAGCTTCATCCAAAGTCACATCTCAGATATAATAGAATACACTTTAAATACAAAGAACTCCATTTATAGGTGATTTGTGTGTCATATTACACAACAAAGAGTTCACCTGATGTACTGTCTGTCAAATAAAAGCAGGTATCATAGGTACAATTAGACCTCTGACTGACCATCAATTCCTAACATATGATGGATAACTTAATGCATACACCATGTTAAATACACAACATTATAGTTAAGTTAAAAAAATTAGGAATATATGTTCCAATTTTTTTATAAATCATATATGTTAATGTCACCATCAGCATAAATTCTGTTTATACTTATTTTTAATCTAAATACATACATTTAAATCCATGTATTGAAAAATTTTGAATTCTGTTTTTTCTAAGTGACAAATTATTAAAACTGAAATCTATGAGGTACTACAATGAGATATTTAGCCGTATAATAAAATCTTGCTAACTCAAATGATCTCCCTTACCTGGTATTCCTCGTCAGCTCCTGCATTCTGTCGTTTTAACTCCACAGCCTGGAAAAGCTCATTACAGAAGATTGGAACTATTCCCTTGTTACTACCATAACCGACCATAGAATAGGATTTACCACTTCCTGTTTGGCCATATGCGAACAGCGAACAGTTGTATCCCTTCCATGCATTGTCCAATACTCCTTTACCAAGATCATCAAACACAATTTTCTGTGAAAAAGATACACACTCAAATAATGTAAAAAAAACTTTTAATGTAGGTGTGAATTCAAACTAGAACACTGACAGGTCAGTAAGGGCCACACTATGTAGCTTGAAATCACTCAATTTATCACACAGAAACTGATTGTTACCGCGGCCTTTGACCTTTGGACCTGAAGAGCAATCTATCTCAAACAAGCACTTTTAGTGAAGAAGCATTGCATTATTCCACAGAATGGATTTTCTATTATTGCAACAATAACCTTAACCTTTGACTTCTGGGTCTGACAAGCAATGCCTAGCGAACACTTTCAGTAAGAAAGCATTGTTTGAAGTTTGAGTCTGATTGGCCAAAGGAAACTCAATTTATCTCACAGAAACAAAAGTACCGACGGACAGACAGACAGATGGACAGACAGACACTGTGATTACTACAGGGCACTCGTACTTTCATGCAATGCCCTAAAGGCATGTATGAAATATATTCATGTTCATACAAGTATTGTTTTCCTGTCGGAAAATTCTGAGCCAGCAGCTAAATTCTATGACATCTCATCCCTTCTATCCTCTTCCAATATACATATGTAGATTCCTGAAGATATCATGAAAGCTGTCTTATTTCTTGATATGATGTTAGAAATAAAAGACAAGCTGTTGGTTATGTTTACTACAACCCTTCTCTGCCTTCTTCTGTTATCAGTTTTTTGAAATGCAACCGAAAAGTCAATATTCTCCACCTTTCATAGCAGTTTGAAGGTGTGAATTCTCATTTGTCTTCAAACCTTCCTATTTGCTTTGTATGGGGAACTGTTGGTTTTAAGCTAAAGTATATCGTTTTATGGGGAACTGTTGGTTCTAAGCTAGAGTGTATCGTTTTATTGAGAACAGTTGGTTCTAAGCTTAAGTGTATTGTTTTATGGGGAACTGTTGGTTTTAAGCTTAAGTGTATCGTTTTATTGGGAACTGTTGGTTCTAAGCTTAAGTGTATTGTTTTATGGGGAACTGTTGGTTTTAAGCTTAAGTGTATCGTTTTATGGGGAACTGTTGGTTCTAAGCTTAAGTGTATCGTTTTATGGGGAACTGTTGGTTTTAAGCTTAAGTGTATCGTTTTATTGGGAACTGTTGGTTCTAAGCTTAAGTGTATTGTTTTATGGGGAACTGTTGGTTCTAAGCTTAAGTGTATTGTTTTATGGGGAACTGTTGGTTCTAAGCTTAAGTGTATTGTTTTATGGGGAACTGTTGGTTCTAAGCTTAAGTGTATTGTTTTATGGGGAACTGTTTGTTTTAAGCTTAAGTGTATTGTTTTATGGGGAACTGTTGGTTTTAAGCTTAAGTGTATCGTTTTATTGGGAACTGTTGGTTCTAAGCTTAAGTGTATTGTTTTATGGGGAACTGTTGGTTCTATGCTTAAGTGTATCGTTTTATGGGGAATTTTTGGTTCTAAACTAGAGTATATCATTTTATGGGGAACTGTTGTTCTAAGCTTACGTGTACCGTTTTAAGTGGAACTTGGTGACTGTAAGCTTTAGCTTTCAATGGGGAATTATTGGCTAGTTTTCTAGATTGAATTATGAATCAAACTTAGCTATTTCACAACTGCTGAACAAGTTTTTCAAACTTATATCAATTACTCTTTCTGGCCCAGTTGGAATCGTGCACAAAGGAGGAAACCAGAGCACCTGGGGTAAACCCACTTGGTTTGGAATGTGACACCATTCCTACTCACATCGTTCCGGGAATTGAACCCCAGGCATCTGAGTGAAAGGTGAGTGCCTTGCATAGGCACCACCCAACTCTCATCCTTAAGTTAGCTGGATTCAGGGACTCCTACTTAGCAAATTTTAAAACCTGAGCTCAGGGGAATTTCAACAGCCCTATTGATTCTACTATTCATATAAATAAGGGTAAAATTGCTTTCTAAGACTTATTGATTCATACAAAGCTACAAGCTTTATGAAACTCTTGGTATTTTTATTCATTTTTTCTGTTTATTCTTTTATCTTCATATGTGATCTGCTTCATTCATCAACATTAATTAAGGTATCGATGACTGAAATTGATTTCTAATTATAACTTTCTCATTAATAATGTATACCATAATTCTGAACAGGTAACAGTTTACCACTGACAGGTAGAGTAGAGTCACAAGCTTCAAGTGTTAAAATGTTCACTGTAGAGTTACTGGGGTGAGAAATATATCAATACAAATGTTTCATGGTTTGTCAACCAAGCGTCAACTCCATGGCCATTGTTGAGTTGAGGGTAGATATATACAGTTACACATTTTTAACTAAAACGAAACTTTCATAAATCTTAACCTACTTGGTTTCTTACTTTTGTATAAGTATGACGTCCATAAATACAAATACCTTGAAAATACTTATTTTGACAATAGTTTTTTAAAATTTGTCTTTGAATATGGCAATTTCAGTGCATCATATTACTGATTATGTATAAATTAGAAAGCCAGTAACTTGTATAATTAAAGACTTGTGAAAGGTTAAAGATCCAAACATATACGAGTAGATTGCAAGGTCAAAGGCCGTCCTGGGTGGGCACGAGTCAAAAGTTTCTTAATTTCTTATTTACTTGTAATTCTATAACAAAAATATATAATTAACAAACACACAGCTGTTCATCTACAAATGATAGTTTAAAAATTGTATTTCCTGTCCTATAATCATGTTTTACTGTATGATATAGTCTGAAGGAGTTTTAAAATAGGATTAAGTGTATAGGTCAATTACTTATTAATAGATTATAACACATTCTTATGTATATTACAACCATATCAGGACACGGCGGCTATAGTGAATCAGTGTAGTCTATTAAATCAAAACTTGTGAACCCCACCCCCCAGCAGGCCCAATATCCAAACAAAATCATACTAGGTCCAAACAGCTCATAGGACCAATATTACGATAGACTGAAATGTGATTAATCTTTTCAAATATTGCATGTTTCCCAAATGATTGGATACTGAGCTACATTAGATATGCTTTGCTCTGTTCCTCAAATAATAATTGTATGTCATTCATGCTTGAATGTGCTAATACCTCATACCATCAGTCGTCTGTAAACATTGTGTAGCCACTTGTCCTCAAATCGCAGGTCATGTTTAAAGAGATAACGTACTTTGAAGTATTTAATCAAAAGTATCTTAAATCTAGCCCATGCCATAAATTGAGAATTTATATGATAACTTGAGCTTCGACCTTTCATTCATCCATTATCAACCTGTAGGAGTACAATATTAAATCTTGAAAGCTTTTAACTTCTTCACTAGTTCAGACAAAATTCTGTTTGAAATTTTCAATATGTCACATGATTTGACACATTCATTGTCACGGTGATTTGATCTGTCTGAATTATCTCTGGAATATCACAAAACAATACCAGTTTTCTGGAAAGTGAAAAATTATTAAAAGAAAGAAACAACTTCAAATTATAAATAATTTGAGCTGATCACGATCTGTTTTTTGAAAACAGATGTCACTGTTTGTCACTCCAATTCATTCTAAATCATCGTGATTGTCTCTCAGTAATTGGTGAAATTACCTGGGAGTATTCTGAGAAAAAGAATTGAGGTATCAGGGGTTGTAAAACGAGTATTGTTCTCCGAGATCCTTGTCTGTTTAAGACTCTTGATAAAAGGAGGAAACCACAGAAGTGCAAAAATTTCAATGCAGGAAAGTGAGTTAAACACAAAACCATGTTGTAATAGGAATAGGAGACCAGTTCTGATTCTGATTTCTTTGTTACAATTCAATAAAATTAGAGCATCATCATTACATTAAGTGGGGGAGTTGGGATTAACTAACACATTGTCTGTATGAATAGAAAAATTCAATATCTTTTATTTGTTTATGACAAAAAGAGCCAGAAACATTGAAAATATCCTATATGGTGTATTGAAAAAACTTATCAAAATATCCAGCACAGACAACTTTAATCAATGTATTCCCATGAAATAAAGTCAGTGATACATCAATTTGATAAAAAAAAGTTTGCTATAAAGTGTAATACATGTTTGTAAACTTCAGGTCAATATTTCAATTTACTAAAACAGTAGAAGTTGAATGGGTTCAAACTTATCATCCTTATTTACAATTTTGATTCCGGTGACAGATTTTAGACCAGTTGTATCCATGGCAACATCTGTCATATGTCAAAGACTAAATGCAATAAAATAGATTTTATAATAACTCTTCATCAATTAATGATAACATACATAAACAAAATAAAAAACTGTTTATCTCACCTGATCAGCATATTTGGACCCAGTGGGTTCTAAATAGCCTTCACTGTTCTCTTTGAATTCATCATGTGACCAGTAGGAGTAATCAAAGGCAAAACGTCGTGGTTCAGCGGACATGTTCTCAGGGTCCTTGATCTCTGTTGTCTTGCCAGACATACCAATGATAAGCTTGGCATTTCTGCTTTGCTCTCTTGTATTGTAATGACAGTTAAGGACAAATATAGGAAATGGTCATGATACATTGTACTGGACACACATTTGATGTAATGGAGATCAAAACACACCATGGAAACAAACAAAAAATTTACACATTCAAAGCCAAACACTTAAAATATAGTTCAGGACAAACATACTTAACTTTAAAATACAGATACACACATTAAATAACTATATTTGTTCTGAGAACTTTCAGATTATGAGTTTTCTGATACATTGAATAAATAAAAAAAATCATTTCCCCTTGATTTTTTCTCATTGCTCTATCACTTGACAATGACATAAATACTCCTTTTAATGACCTCATATGCCTGGTAACAAGCCCACCCACATTACAATACTACTGTCATAACTTTTATGATTGAGGAATTGGAGGAGCTGGTGATTTATTATTGATAGCGAAATTTTATACCTGTACATTGTTTTCCTTCACCGTAAGATTCCAAGAAATGAAAACAAGGTGAAATAGTTGTAATGTTTGTGAATGTCTTCTAGTGTTTGTATGTTGTTTATACAATATAGTTTTCTATTTTACATGTGATATTGTACTGCTATTGTGTTTTTATATATTTAAAATCCCTTTAAAATTATGAAATAGCTACTGCAAGAACAAACTCTGAAAAATAAATATTCATCAAGATATTTAACATTGTTTGAAAATCACTCCTGTACGGATTGAGCATTGACCCCGTTTTGAGTATATGTTAAATTTTGAAATAAGATATACAGCTAAATGTAATAAATACCAATGGTTCAAAAGCTAAGTTAAATGACATTCTCTTTAATGTCCTGGTACATGTAGTATATTTTTAAAATAACCATAACGTGTTGAACCTGGGTTTCTATTTAAGCAAGGCTGGTCTTTCTTTTCTGCTGTAACAGCATTTTAACTTCAACATTGCAATCTGTCTGAAACAAAAGCTCAAAATAGTAGAGTTCTTTATATGAACACAGGACAACTATAAGGACTAATATGACGTGACCAGACACCAACAACACTTCGCAAAATCACAACAAGGAATATGGACGCGCATACAAAATACGTACAATCGACATCAAAATAAACCTGTGGTGGAATATAATAATAATAAAATACATTACATATAAGATAAAACATTAAATTCATCCCTTCTATATGTGTCTGGTGCATATGGTATGTACACTGACACAGTTACATTAAATTGCAACAGTGCAAATAAACAGTAAAAATACAATATATCCTAAATACAAATTATTCACAATCTAGCATATTTTTTCTATTTAATTCTGCTTCAATCAAATTTCCCGTGTCACGCTGTCCGTATATTTACATTAACAATTATATATATACGGTAATGGTATACACATGTACACATATAATTGTGTGGCACGCGCCACTATTTACAATATTGTGAGCTTAGCGTACTTGGATACGGACAAGTATCGTGCCACATTACCCTAATAACGGATATATATCACTTGAATTACCTTCATGGACTACTGACAGCGGAAGGACTGTCTTTATATATCCTACCGATAGACGACACATCGTGCAAACGTATCAGAAAAGGATATGAAAGGGCGAACCCGCACCGCTACTTTCACGCTTTCAGCCATTTTTCACGATCTTTGACAAACTAGTACGCTGTTCCTTTATCCTCCCTATAGTGGCCTATGAAAATATAGGGGGCAATATCAACAACAAGAGCAAAAATATTGCCTCATTGACATTCAAAAATAAATCTTATAAAATCATAAAAATATCAGAGTCACATTGCTGAATATATTACTTTTACATTAGACTAAATATAATAAAATCCAAGGGTGAAAGCAAGTAATAGAAGAGCGCCTTTGCTACTTCCGTAAACAAAAAGAACGACAACCTGGTGTTTACTTCCGGTATTAACTAACTACAACGCGGGAAATTTGTTTTTTGTTTCGTTTGTTTCTTTCCTTTTAAATTAGATTCTCATGAGATTTCTTTTCAAATAACTGAAGCAGAATACGTTGAAAAAAAAACTTAGGTTGAGTAATGTAGTATGGAAGAAGACATTGACAGGCGAAGTGTTTGAAGAAGACTTTTTATCACCTAGTTTTTTATCATCTCATTTGATTTTTCATTTTATTTTTTTTTTCATTTGTATTCCATAATGCTATATTTGTATTTCATATCATCTTTATTTGTATTTGATATGAATGTGTGTATTCATATTCTAGTTGTATTGATTTCGATTTATATTCTATATTTCGTGTTCTCTGCGTTGTATTGTACAATAATCATCAGCGTATATACTTTGTATTTATGTTATAAAACTGTCCTTTTGTGTTCTTTGAATCGCATTCCAGCATTGATGAGGAATATTCAATCAGAGACATATATACATCTCTGATTCAATGTATACAATACCATTTGGTTTGATTGACCACGGCGATATACCAGGCCGGTGCGCTGGTCAATGTGGATGGCTGATCTAGCCTTTTTTTCATTTAAAGGACTTTTCGATATGAAGTGTACGTCAATATGTTAGCTGAATGGTTTTATATTGTAATATACAGTTAGATGTGTTCTATTCTAGTTAATGTGTTATCTGGACGGTTTCGATGTGTGATATTATGTCAGATGTTGTCGACCCTCTTAGCAGGACTGTTTCAGTGCTTTCGTTTCAAACATTTTATTCATGAATGTAAATATCAAATGGATTAGAAAACAGACTGAAATCATATATCAATGGTCTCCAAGGACAAAAGAAAAAGATGTAAAACAGTCACATATAGGTACGTAAACAAAAATTACATAAAATTTCATATAGGGGAGACAACTCCACTTTAAACTTTATTGCAATAATAAAACAGTTTTTAGATGCACCATATTATACAGAATAGTCAAACCATAGTTAACGTTATTTCATGTTTTAAGGATAAAAATGCACATTTACGAGCTCCCGCATACACAAGAGGTCTCGGGCCTGAATATCCAGTGTACTAAAAGAGCAAGCAAGTGGACATTTACCTAATAAAACAGACCGGGAGAATCATATAATAGTTTAGATAAAATTAAGTGATATATTTATACCTTTGTTTCCAAACAAGGAGATATTGCCATGGATAACCCAATCCCAACACTTAAACTCATCACATATATAATTGTAGCAACATTTAAAACAATAGGAAGGCTGGATTTTCCCCTCGATACTATAAATATCAAATACATAATTAAGTATACATATGTTATAAAACCATTAAAGTTTTGTATCGGACAACGAGGAAATATATAAATTGACTTAGAGGCTGTCATATATCAGGTCTAGAATTTATGTACCGAGGACAATAAATGAAAAATGACGAGCTGTTTCTGATGGTGTTCCGCATTCACATGAAGGCCGCTTACGGAGATGGTCTTTATGTAGGACATAATTAAGGAACTAGATGAGTCTCTTACCTTACAGAATAAATGTACTTTCTTGAAAGGTGATATCATTGTTATCGTCTGGATTTATATATATAAACAAATCATCATCATCATCATCATCATCATCATCATCATCATCATCACCACCACCAATTCATGCACAAACTACACCCATGATGGCATACCTTTATCATCAACATCATCATCATCATCATCATCATCATCATCATCATCATCATCATCATCATCATCATCATCATCATCATCATCATCATCGTCGTCGTCGTCGTCGTCGTCGTCAAGAAAATCATCGTATATTGATTATAGCGTAGCTATTATCAAAACCAAGAAGACTGTGATAAGGAAAGTTGAGGTTTTTGTGAGTGATTATACAACAGTAAAAATGTTATTCCGGTAGTATACAGAACTTGACTCATTGATACACGTGTACTACAACATGTTTTTAAAAAGAAAATGTATAAATTAACAGGAACAAATGAGACTGTCTGAAGTTCAAGAAGTGCTTTCCATTTTCTCTAACCGAACTCCAACTTTCTTTTAATTGGTTTGTTCTTACTGTTATATATATACAAAGTGCATGTATAAGGGCATCCGGCGTCCATCGGCCGAAGGGATTATCGAGACACCTAAATTTGCACTACCGCTCTCGATTTTAGTTTATAACTTTGTATTTGTTTTATGACCTACGTATGTGATGTAATTTATGTAATATTTGTGTGTTGATAAAGGGGCAGATTGCCTCGAATATTTGACAATTGTCCGTGCCGTTGTTATATGTATAAGAGACAGATCACGATCCTTGATTCCATTGAATGCATTAAGACGTACGTGGTTGCTATGACATCTAGTTTTGAAGAGATAGAAATGATAACAAGAAATATCCCATTATCAGTGAAATACCAATGTTGTGATACTATACCGCAGATAAGGGATATTTTTTCTTTATGAGCCTCTTGACATTCCGAGAGACAATGGATAATTGTTTGATATTCTAAGTTACACAACAGGGCTTACAAGTAAATTTGTTTTATAAAGAAAAGTGTTTATTACCAGGCTATGGTGTGTAATTCTAACTCGGATCAATTTTAATTGGATTTTTTTATAAACTTAGAATGGTGTTTTGTCCATTTCTTTCCACTGCCTCAGTATCACGATCAAATTTCGGGTCCCACTTTCTGTTGCCATTCAGTCATGGCGATGTAGGGATAATGCATGCACATTGATCATTTCAGCCCTCCATTAATGTAATTTTGTGTAACATCTTTCTGAATCTTGTAATACTTGCCGTTCAATGAAAGACAAATAAGGAGTTCAGCTGAGTAGTATATTTTATCTGGTGGATTGGGCAGAGTAAAGTTGAGTTCAGTTGTGATATTAACAAAGATTTGATAAAATCCCATCTAATCCAAGTGTTGTTAAGATATTTTTTATAAAAGTTTATTTGTGGAATGTCACTTAGATCAACAATTATATACAGGAATGTGAACCGTTCTTTGCCCGGCTATAAACCATGTTCTGACTAATATGCTGTATCGCTATATCTTTTATTCCCTATCCAGGTAACTTGTGTTTATCTTGTATTTATCTTGAGACTAGACATATTTGCATAGTTATTCAACAACAGACACCCTGACCCATCTAGTATCAACCCGGTATGACCTGTATACTGGACTTTAATACAGACGTATCCTCAATGTCAATCTCCTTAATGTACTTATTACTTTTTATTATTTCAACTAAAACTTCACACAGGATAAAGAATTAGGGGACAATGATAAAGATGTAGGAAATAATGATACATATGTAGAGAACAATACGATGAAGATCTAGGGAACAGTATAATAAAGATGTAGGGACAATATAATAAAGTATAGAGGACATTATGACAAAGATGTTGGGGACAGTATGATAAAGAGGTTGTGTGATATAAGTTAGATGTGTGCGAAGCTCGTTAGTATGTTAAGTGGTTGATTTCGTCGTGTGATATGAAATAAGATGCTGTCGATTCGCGTTTACATACATTGAATATTATTTTCGTTGTCAGTAACATGGTTCACATCTAGAGAACCTGATATTTATGGGACTGACCTACAATTAAATACGAAGTCTAACTTCGATGAATTAAAAGAAGGAACATTCGGATTCTCTTCGATATACATTTAATTTCATTTCACCTTCTTACTACACATCTCATTTTTACTTCATTTCATCTTCTTATCTCATTTTATTTTAACAAAATTATCTCGTCACATATGTACACATATGTATCCCATTTCCTTTTTTGCTTCATCTTCCCACAAGAGCGTGGCATGTTGGTTTTTTCAAATAAGTTTGTTATAGCTAATTCTTGATAAGATTTGGAAGGATCTCACTCAAATATATTTTGTAGGTTGACCTTACCGCCTTGTTTCTGAAAATTGAAATTTGGGGAAAATGATTTATATCCTTCTACCGTGATCAAGAAAGTAAACCAAATCGCACATCAGAGCCACTTAGTCTCGTTATAGATCACTACACGACTTACACTTTTGAGGCATACATTTTAACACATGTATCTATACCTTTGTGTTATAGTGAATATGTAAACTTATCCATTTAAAAAGAAAAATAAAAATACAGTATGCGCTAATAAAATCAGCAAATAATATGGCTTAGATAAGTCCAGGAAAATATGTTTCCAATTCATGACTTTTTCACCAAAAGTATGTTTAGACAGGGACGTATATATCAATATATATACGTCCCTGGTTTAGGTAGTTCAGACTTAAATATCTGTATCTATGTGTCCCCGTTCACAGATCACCTCGTATTCAGCTGGGGTCACTGGTTAGACTACATACGCTCAATGATTAAGAAAGATTAGCAAATCATCAATAATCGGTAAACAGTATGGCGGATTATAAAATCAGGCAGGCTGTAGAGAGTGATTGTGAGGAGATACTTCGGCTTATACAGGTAAGTTAATAATGGCATGTGCAACCTCGGTATGATTACACGTGTGTGTACACGGTGTTAACACAAAAATATGACCTGTTATTTGGAGACCGGAACTACACGAAGCCTTGATTTAATTCTCAGTTTAAACGCTTAAAAATCACGTGTTTTTAAAATTACTTTCGAAATATCAATAAGTTTATCAAACTCCCCCAGTCTGATGCCCATGGTTCTAAAACGAAGAAAATATAAGGTTACATCATCAAAATCGATGATTTTCCGAACTGGGCAGAGGCTTGTCGGTATTATTACAGAGTTTTCTTAAATTAGTAAATAAATGATGTTCGGACCATACATCGATAGATGTAAATGTGTGATACTGAAATACAGTGTAGTAAATAAATATCTACAAATTGGAAATTAAATCTATGGATGCATATCAACCAGTTATAATCTAAAACGTCCACTGGCTGTTTGTATATTACAGGAGTTGGCTGACTTCGAAAAAATGGGAGACAAAGTGGACATGACTGTCGAAAGTAAGCTTTGATGTTGATAAAACGTCTGTCTTTAGAGTGTCTATGTACATTAATTTTACAACGAGGTCATGTGTTATGTATTCTACGTGACAATGCAAAACTAACATCTTATAATAAGAACATGAGCAAAAAACCCTGGCTATATCATACAATCAACTGGCCGATTTGGGTTCAAAGTTTGTTCACCGTCAAAAAGATATCACGGCGTCATTCACATATACATTTGTGAGGTCACGAAGTGCTATCACACGTGCTCCATACACTTTTGATGGCATCGAGACATATTTACAGGCAGTGTTGTAGTTGACCCTATAAACTTTGTAATGCGCATATTGATATGACTATAAATGGACGACTCCCGCGTGACGTCATCGTATCGCACACTGGACTTTATTTACTTTATTTTTAAAATACCTCCGCGAATTTAAGTCCGTGTGATCCATACGTCAATCTTATCAAACTGCTCGGATGGTGTCTTTGACGAAAACTTAATAGCCTGAACGTTGGAATTTTGTATTAACTAATGTCAATATATGTGTTAACTAATATGAAAAAGGACACTGCCTAAAAGTTAGCGCAAGTAGATAAACACGACAAACGTTTTAAACTGCCTGATTCATATCTTCACTTATTATTTTTTTCTATTTTTGAAGACTTAAAATATATATATTAAACAAGACACTTCGATGCCGATGAGGTATTTCATCATCAACATCATCATCATCATCATCATCATTATTATTATTATTATTATTATTATTAATCATTCATCTATTCTTCTTCTTCTTCTTCTTCTTCTTCTTCTTCTTCTTCTTCTTCTTCTACATCTTGACGTCAATGCATCAATCATTACCTTCTTCATCATTAGGTGGCGGTCGTGTGGCGCAGTGGTAATGTATTCTTCCTGCCATCGTTTCCCACGTGTTCTCTGGTTTCCTCCTACAATAAGGCCCCTCGTGCGCGTACACCAAGAGTGATTAGTACAATATGGGATAGAATTTACGTATATATATAATTCAAATATATACAACATGAAAGCAGAAAAAACAAGAATAGAAAAAGAAACCAGATGTTCGGGCCTTAACGGTTATCTAGCTATAAAACCCTACATACGATATAAGATCAGTATTCAAAATTTTGAAATGATTAAAGCAGCTGGATTTATTTCAGCAGTGAAGGCAAAAACACTCCATTTCAGTTTCTTAGCATTCTCACAAAGTATTACTTCAATAGCACCATTGGGAACGAGAAGTTAAAAAAATATGTTTATCAAGATAGCGGCCATGTCTGCCATCATTTTATGAGTAATATGAATACCTAGTTAGTTATGTAAAAAATGGCCAAGTTTCATTGTGATTTTCCCTCGATAACCTAAACAAACATAGGAAGCTAACCCTTATATTTGCAGTCTTCTTCATTTAACTGCAGTTTCGATGTTTAAAGTTTACAGACACAAAAATGACAAAAACATTGAATTGACTGGCGTAAAAACTATCATTATGGAACAGCATTGTTTCAGTCTTTTTGCTCACAAAGCAACAGAATAAATAACACTTAAAAAAATCACATAAATGTTTATTCATAATTAATTGCTGAATTCAAATTCCAAGATTTATTCATCGAGATTCAAAGACAACCTCGGCAGTTTGACCCTATTTCTAAAGGACTGTATTTCATGTTGGCATTTCAAACGCGCGAATTCAAGCCCGAACAATGTGTGATACGATGACGGCACGTCATAAGTTCATATCAATACACACGCGAGAGGGACTACTTTTACCCTAGCTTAATGAAAAGGAGTAAAGCACAATGGTAAATACTTGAAAATAAAATAATGCTTAGGGAGAATCTGAACTGGAAATAAAATACTTTTTCCACTCTCGGCCCCAACTTTTCCATCTGCACTGTACTCCTATGTACACTAAGGTCGAAATAGTCTGACGAGATGATAAACAAATTACAGAACAAAAAACACACAAGATGGTAACGATGAACTGTAGTCAATTCCGAGCTGTTTAACACTTGGTCAGTAAGTCGGTTCCTTACCATCTCGTACACTGCGTATGTCAGTGTTAGTTCGCTTCACATTGGTCACTTTGTCTGATGAAGGTGACCGTGTAGTAATCAAAACGTCACACTCTCATCTTCTACTGGTTCTGTTGTAAGAACTTCTATTCTATTGACATTACCAACCTGAAGAAAATGGTCTGTGATGCTTAGATAATACTAAGGGAAGTAACTCTGGTACTTAACATTAGGATATATATATTGATTGATTGATTGAAATTGGTAATTACAAGAGATATTTGTGGATGTGTACCTGTGAATCTTCTTTATAACCGCAGGATGTTTGTCTAAGATAAATAGATATAAGAGTATCGTGTTATAGTATTGGGTCGCAGGACCAACGATAGTTCATTATTATCTCGTAAGATATCTACCATGTATCTATTACAGCATTGACCTTTTAAAATACATACCTGTCTTAATTACAGTGCTGAGGAGAGATGGATTCGGGGAACAGAAATTTTTCCAGTGCCTTGTTGTTGAAGATACGACTGCGAAAGGTAAAACATTTGTTGGGGATATAATTGGGATACATCAGTTAATACACTTTTATTAAGATATAAAATCTTGATAAATGTTTCACCGATTGAAATATAATCCCAGAAAAAATAACATTTATATTACGTCAAAGGCTGTAGAAACACTTGAGAATATGATTTCCCAACGAGTCTTTATTTCCACGGTCACAATTTTGTTACATTTACATCATCCGGGGTATGTTACAGGAGCGGAGGGCACGGCTGTCCTGTGGGGGTATGCCTTGTATTACTACGCCTATTCAACATGGTCAGGTCGTGTGATGTACCTTGAGGACCTCTATATATCACCTGACAAACGAGGGCGAGGTATCGGTACCAAAGTCTTCCAACAAGTAGCACAGGTAAAACCTTTAGAAACCTATTTTGATTTTGTATTAGTAAGAAATTGGTCGGAAAAATAGTTTATCTGGCAACCACAGACAGAAATGTGGCAGTCGCCAGGTGATGAACGCCGGCTACAATAAAATCAACAAGCAGCCCATTCCTTAAACTATTATCACAAAATATCATACACTCATGTTGTGAATCTATGATGTACTTCTGTAAAAATCTGCATAGTTCGCAGTTGAAAAATAGAGTTTTTATCGTAGTCCAGCAATTCGATATCCTAACATACTACAGAATGTTATATTGCTTAAGGTCTTGCTAGATACATTATACAATGTATGTTTTCGTTTACTGCTGAAAGAAGAGACACAATGTATAAAACAGAATTATAATTACAATGGCCATGTTTAAACACTTTCTAGTTACACAGTAAAATTAGGAAATCCAAACAAATGATGATCGGTTTAGACAACATGGCGCTTAAATGTCTATTTAATAACTGTCCTTCATACATAATGAATGTATATGTTATACACGTGTGAATCATAACATTCCTGTAAGATAAAACATCTCTTAGTTATAACCATATCATCAAAATAAACTCTGTACATCACATTAAAATCCTCCCAGCATCTAAGGTCAGATGAAGACGATATCCACGGAGGATCAGGTAGTTATTCTGGTTTTATGGCCTATATGTACATTCAAAATTGCCATTATAGCGTCATCGTACTGTAATATCACTTCCTGTGTATGACAGTATGATACTCCACCCGGTCACTTTATAGTGACAATGGCCTAATCAGCCCTTTATATTATAAACTTTTGTTTATCTTGGTCAATTGAGAAAACCGTTAGTCTTCTTTGCTTTGGTGGACACTCAACACTAAGGCCAAAACCGAAATCTTTGCAATCGCGGATTTAAGAAGGAAAGAGAAAGGCGAAGGCTCTAAATTTGAAAATGTGTTTAGATCGTACATGGTAAAATATAGATTGATCTAGAAATAAAAATGTTGACCTTGTTGGTAGTAGTACAGTCTGTGATTATAATCTCGTAGTTATGCGGAGTTTTACGTATACCTTCGCAATGAAGAATGAAAAGAAGGTATGTTTATAGGAATTTTCTGTACGTCCGTCCGTCTCTTCGCTGAAATCAACTTGTTCACGGACCAGCTCCTGAATTCTCTGAGAATGTTCCCTGTGATACTTTCCACATCACAATATTACACACTGAAATTACACATCTGAAGAACATGTTTATGGAGTTAGGTCCCTTTGTTGAAAAATAGCATGAATTGTTTCCTGACAGATTTTGCCTAGACTTATCAAACAGTTCCATTAAACTGTACATGTGTTAAAACTACTCTTTGCAGTTGCGAATCTAGTTTTTTTTCTTTTTCTTTTATATCCTCGACCCTTTATGGATTTATAATAGCATTCGACCAAGGTGATATTCAGGTTTTTTGTCTTTGATTGGAAATGAATTGAAAAAAAATGATAATAAAAATGAAAATTTAAAAAAAAAACAAATTTGGTTCATGCAGTGACCCTTTAGTATACAAAGATTGCTTACAAGTCCAATGTTATGTATTTCTATTAATTGTATTCTATAAATTTTATTGTGTATTTGTAATAGATTGGAATAGCTAATGACTGTACAAGGATGCAGTGGGTGGCCCTGAACTGGAATAAGTCGGCCATAGATTTCTACAAGGCACGTGGAGCATGGGATCTGACCGAGTCAGAGAAATGGAACGTATTCCGGATGGACAGACCAGAGATGGAACAGTTAGCAAAGTCAGACTGACCTGTGGCCTTCAAGTCGAGATCATAATTCCAGAAATTTGAACGAATACGGGTTTCACTAAAGTCACTTTAAGGATTTTCTTTTTAAAACTTTGTAAGACGACGTCTGCAGGACATTCTGTTTTTAATTGTTAGTTTAAAAAGATTGAGTTTCTGTACACATCGTCATGAATCAGTCATTTTTTCTGTGAAAGTGACCACGAGGAAAACGTCGTTTTGTAATTATCTATCATCTTGCCTCAAACCAATTACAATTCATTGAGATAACTGATGTCATGGTTATATTAAACATAGTAAGAGGTTTTGTTTTCAACTCGGTATTTTCTTGTTTGCAATTAAAATAAAAAAACCCAAAGTTTGATGGATTACTATAAATACAAATACATTAGCAGATTATTCATGTTTTTTAATGTTCCCAGACTTACAGAAATTCAGAAAAACAAAAACATTTCGGAGTCTGAAGTTGGGTCCCAGTTCCAAGTCCCGTTTAAGAAAAATGGAACTTGGAACCAGATCCTAGTTCAGGTTTAAGAAAAACGGAACTGTTATTGGAAAAATAGAACAAAAAGTATATGATGACAAGTTCAGTGTGCATGATTTTTGTCTTAATTCAGTACAGTAATCGAACACATAGTCTTTCACAAGGAAATTAAGACTACCTTAAATGGAACAGAGGAATAGATCCCAGTTCCGTTTAAGAAAAACGTATATCTCCGAAAATCAAGAAGTACTATGCTTATGGTCTTACCTTGATTCGGGACAGGAGTCAAATCCACAGCATTTCACAAAGAAATTAAGACTAACATTTTTTTTATAAAGGAATAGGTCTGATACGGATCTCGCATTAACACTCCACTTCTGTTGAACCTGTAGAAGCTCTGGTAGTCTTAATTTCTGTCTGAAATGTTTTGGTTTCGATTCTTGTCTCGTAATAACATAACATCATGCTCATTGGACTTTCCGTTTTCTTAAACGGAGTTAGGATATAATTTAAGGATAAACGGGACTAGAATCTCGATCCAGTTCCAACTTGTATCTGGTTCCCCGTTCCTTTTCTCTTCAACGGAACTAGGAACTAGGAACTAGGGACCAAATTCAGGCTTCCTGTATTCCAAGTCTTTTGAGAAAAGTAAATCAGTTTGTAGACAGCTGAGTCGCAAATTCCAAACTAACGAACATTGAACGTTTTCATTTTTGTTGTTTTAAGGTTTTCTTAGGTCACATGATCATGGTTCCAGTATATACATTGGTTATACGTAAAATTTGCATTAAACAAAACATTAATGTAACAATTGTAACAATTTTATCAAAATTGATTAAAATCATAACGTAGAAAAAAATATCCAAGTATTTTATTTTAATAACATCGACATTACTTTAGACAATGACAATGATTCTTGGATATATCAGACACAGGCATAATAGTCAGTAAGCGTGAAAGCGTGGTAATAGAAGAACGCATTTTAGTTACTCCCGGAACTTGTGTCTAGAAGCAGTTTTCGAAACGTTCATCGCAAGCAAATGAGGGAAGATTAAAATATTGAGCTTTTGCTGTAAAGTTGTCGACGGCAATTACGACAAAGAGAAATGCTTGTCAAATGTTTAAGAAATAAGTTTTCAGAGCATTTGAATGAGTAATGTTCGTTTTATAAATTTAGGACCTCAGCAAAACTGAAGTGTTCTGTGCTTAGAATGAAACATTCTTATGAATATTGCCTTTCGGTGATAAAAATGTTTGCATTTCCATTCGTGGCTGGCATGTTTACTGACACTTTTGGTTGATCAGCTATTGAGCAGATTACACGAAAATCTTTGACGGAAAACAGCACCTCGTATCTACAACGGCAAAATACCACTACTTCTGCCTTGAGAATCAATATTTACTTATGATCCCGTGGCAAAAAAATCCCTGTATCTTCAGTTTGGTTCATTTTATGTTATGTACGCGACGCCCGGTGTGTGTGATTATGAACAGCACCAGACGTGTTTTAAAGTTCGTCTATAAAATTCAAATGTCTTAAACTTTATTTTCCTTAACAAAACTCAGATATATTTGGTTCAGCAGGGCCTATTTTGTGACGTATGATTCCACGAGAGAGAGAGAGAGAGAGAGAGAGAGAGAGAGAGAGAGAGAGAGAGAGAGAGAGAGAGAGAGAGATATTAACCGGAGTTTCCTGGGAAAATCCATGGGACCTTTGCTTGTTGGAGCATACAGAACATTTTAGTATGTTTGGGTAATCACATTAATTAAGATATTTCATGATGTCTGTAAGGTTAGGTAATGATAAACACAAGTTTAAGTTCGATTGTTCACCATTATACATGTTAAAATTGTAAAATACAAATGAACAATACCCCCATTTACAATCAAATATGATCAACTACACTTGATATTTTCTTTTAAATACCATTAAAATTTGATAAAAAAAATAGCAAACAATTATCGATAAGTGAATACATTAAATCGCGGGTAGGAGACTTCCATTTATATACCTCAATCCTTATCTAAGAAAAAGGAAAAGAATGGGAAAAAATAGTCAGGTTAACACTAAGCTTGCAATCGCTTCTATTTTGTTACAAAGACAAAAGCATGACGTCACAATGGGATTAAGACATTGGTCCATTTGTGACGTCACATTTTAGTTGCTAAGCCGCTTAGCAATCGACAATGGCGGAGATGATGAGTCTCTCCCCAAATATAAACATTTTATGTTAATCTTTGGCGTACCACAATGGATATCAAGCTGTTACTGCTGTTTGTGGTAATGCTGACCACAATCCACCAAGGTCCTGCTGCTTATCGGGACCTCATGTGGTAAGTTTGATTTTTGCGGTATCACCGAAATACTGATTTTACGGAAGTCAGGAACAAGCTACATAATTTCTCTATTTACAATCTTCTTCTTCTTCTTCTTCTTCTTCTTCTTCTTCTTCTTCTTCTTCTTCTTCAATGTTTCTTTGGAGAAGCCAATATTTTTCTCTGAAATCTTAGTGTAAACTTCAAAATTTATTTGTGTAGCGTGGAGCCAGAGCCTGGATATTTGAACAGCTTTTATCATTATGTCACAGCCAACGAAATCAAGAAAGTATGCCCAACGCCAGCCGATTTGATCTTGGTAAGGATTTCACACCATAATTATTTGCTGAACATGTCAGCATTATTGTAATCAAGATAATTATTTTAGATTGTAACAACTGGTTTTTGGATGGTCCAAACTTTCGAGGGGGAAATTAATTTAGTTTTCAATGTTTTTCTACAGTACTTAAAAAATCAGTTGAATATCCCTCTTTTCATGTTTGTATGATTCGTTTACACTTGGATCTAAAAACATTTGTGTCAAGTCCCTGTGTTACGATCTATGCGTTTTATTTCATCAATTATTCCTCAAATTATCAATCCGTAGTTTTGAATAATAGGTAGGTAGAAAACGTATCTATTCCTATCTAAACTTCTTGCATATGAACCATTCTATGAAAAGCTATTTCCATAAATTGACCATGTTTATTTTTGTGTATTTAATTTATTTCAGCGAATTGGACACGAGATGTTCTATACCCTGATGTGTGTATTTCTGACTCTATTTATGGGATATGCGCCGTCGCTTGGAAACAGAGTCAAACAGACCTTGTTGGCTACATTTTCTAAGTTCAAGGAATGGAGAACCCGTAAGTGATATAGATAATTTAATTTTCAGCTTTTTTACCTTAAATAATTGAGCGAAACAGCGGAATAGTTTGAAATCATTTCTATGTGAAAACTGAAATGTCCAAGTGAACGATTGGCCTCTTGTAAATATTTCATGTCTCCATACGGATATGTCTAACGGTGCCTTTCCGATTAAACAGCTGTGACTAATCAGATAAATAGTGAAACAATTGTATTTTGAATATGTATTGGAGTATATATTGTTTGTTTAGGTCCTTCACGCTGTCCTCACTGCGGAACTGTCCCATGCCAGGCAAAACGCAGATCTTTGTGGAAACCTTCCGGATCTCGGAATAGAGACAAAGCCAATTTCGCTGAGCGAGCAAAAGCAATGGAATTGTTCAACTATGGTCTCGAGTTATCTGTGGTGTTGACCAAGGAGCTGCCCCGGGATGACCTCTACTGGGAAAGGAAATTCTGCCACCAGTTTGAAGAGAAACACATGGTGCTGTTTCCACTTTGTATCCAGCGTCAAATCAACTATTGGTACCCAGTGCCTCGCTAGGTAGGTATTTAAGAGTTTGATTGCAATATACATGTAGTTGCAAAATTGTTACATTTTGAACTATAGAAAGAGATGCTATATACTTCAAAATTGGTACATGTACCGTTTTTACATATATTTTTTTCCATTACAGATCCGATGTACTATCCATGAAGGAGAAGATATCGAAGGGTAGTGACGTCATTCATTATGTGCGATCGAAGCACGTTGAGTTCATCGCTGATTTTCACCGAACTTTTAAGTGTCTTGACCATTTTCGGTAGAAATGATCTTGACCACTGATATTTAAAGTGTTTTCTTATTTATTATGTTTGTCAGTGCATCTTGACCTCGTGGGGTCTTTTAAAGAAATGTACAGATTTCTTGTTGTGTTGGTTATTTAGAAATGTAATTAATTCCACCTGTTGTGGCCAAAATTGGTTGTAGGTGACGTTTTGGTCATAAGTTATAGATATAACTTGCAACTGACCATAAGACAGACAGACAGACGGACGGACGGATGGACAGACAGACTATATTTCCTCCTGAGGGAGATTTCATAAATATCATTACATAATGTATAATAAAATATTATAACAGGTACATTAACATGAAATTATAAACACACAAAGACAATTACCTCCGCAGGTAGGTTTGTATGTATAGTAAATCTCATTGCATTGCAGCATTCGTTTCTCAGATCATTTCTGGTACATTTTCAGCCATATTTAACAAAAGATTTCCCATTCAGAAAAATCTTTAGTTCGGTCTCCTAGGAGAAAGGCACACTGATCGTAATCACTCAGGTTTG